AGAAAGACTCCACTGCTCAGGCCAAGGCATACGCCATCCGTGCTCCCATGCCCCTAGCAAGTGTTGCAGCAGCCCTTGCCTCGGCGCCTTTCCAGCGCAACCGCTTTCCTCCGTGCACCTACGTCGTCAAGTATGGCAACCGCAAGGGACAAGTGTGTGGTGGCACTAACCACCCCCTTGCCACGTGCTTCAAGAAGAAAGACGACGAGTGGTATGCCATCCACGGGGTTGACAAGAAGCCGCCAAACTGGATGCGCGCTCGTAAGGCCAATCTCGTTGAGGTCCAGGACCCCTCTTCGGCTAGTGCTAGTGACAGTGCTCCTGTTGATGTGCGTATCAACCTGTTGTTTCCTGGCACTGCCATGATTAATGAAGCCACTTCCCAGTACATCGACTCATCACAGGCACCACAGTACATAGAGTTCACACTCGACAGTGGGGCCACTCACACTGTGCTCAAGGAGACACTCTCCTTCAAACCCTATCCAGCACCTATCCCTCTCTTGGGAGCTGACTCCAGCTTCACCACCCTAGCCAAGGGCACCTCCACAGTCCCATGCCCAGCCTTCCCTTCCGGCACCGTCACTGGCATGTGCGTGCCTTCACTACGCCACAATCTAGTGGCTCAAACAGAAATTCAGAAAGCAGGGCTACGCACCATCTTCTCGGAGAATGAGGACCACTGCGACATCATTGACCCACTCACCAACAAGGTCTTGGCCCGCTTCACCCTCAATAGCAGCGGCCTCTACACGCTACGCGTTCCTCTCCCACAGGTTTCAACCACCCAAGCACAGGCTCCCATCACACCATGCACATGTCGCAGCCTCTCCAACCCGACCATCCTCTATCATCATCGGTTAGGGCACCCAAACTTCCGCACGCTTGCTGACATGGCCTCCAAGAAACTTCTTCTCGGCCTGCCAGCCACACTTCCTCCACCACCTGACTCACCCGCTCCCACGTGCCTTGATTGCACCAAGAGCAAACTGCGCCAACAGCCCCACACTGCCTCACCCACAATCGCAGCGGCACCACTGGACCTAGTGCACATGGACGTCTGGGGCCCTGCCCCTGTTCTTGCACGAGGTGGATATCGCTACTTCCTAGTTATCGTGGATGACCACTCACGATACGTCTCTGTTCACCTCCTCCACACTAAGGCTGAGGCTCCAGAGGTCATCATGGCGTGGGTCAAGCAGGCACAGACCACCTTTGACCTCAAGGTCAAGCGCCTTCACTCGGATGGGGGGGGTGAATTTTGCAACGACAAGCTTAAAGCCTTCTGCTCCTCCGAAGGCATCCAGCAAAACTTCACCCTCCCTGACAGCCCTCAACAGAACGGCATAGCTGAGAGCCGCAACCACACTCTAGTGCAGATCACTCGGTGCCTCCTCAGCCACTCCAACGCTCCACACTCTCTCTGGGGATACGCTCTCTACCACGCCGCCCTCCTCTACAACCTTTACCCCCATCCGCACCTTCCCGACACCACTCCAACCACACTCTGGCTCGGGAAAACGCCCACGGCTCGCTCTCTTCGCGTTTGGGGATGCACCGCCTATGTCCTCCTCAACCCTCAGGCTCGACGCCAGAACGGTGGCAAGCTCGGTCCCAAGACTCAAACGTGCATCTACCTTGGGCACAACGCCGACTCACCTGACTACCTCTTCCTCAATCCCTCCACTCAACAGTTGGTCAGGAGCCGCGACGTTGTCTTTGATGAGACCCGCCCATTCTACTCCCCTTCGGGACGGGACCCTCTCCCTGATCCACCCTCCCTCGTGTGGGCAGACTTTGACGCGCCTCCCGACCTCCCGCCTGCTCCTGCCCCCTCACCTCCTCCCTCTCCTGCCATCCCACCATCTCCCTCTGAGGTCTCTGACCCGGCCTCACCGGTGTCTTCGGCGGCTGCTCCGCCCCCCCCCTCACCTTCCTCACTTCCCGCTGCGCCGCCCCCTCCGAGCGCACCTATCACCTACCATCGGCGGTCCCACCCTCCGGCCCCACCTCCTCCCCCAGTTCCCCCCACCACAGAGGAACCCGCTCTCCCACAGTCGCCCGAGCTGATCACGTACCGCCGGCGGCCCATTCCCCCACCCAAGCCTCCTAAGTCACCCTCTCCGACACCGCCTGCCCCGCCCTCCTCACCGGTGGCTCATGGCACCCGCTCCCATCGCGCTGCTCTTCCACTCGCAATGGTTCTTCGATACACAATGATCACACCGCCTCCTCCTGCTGGGGGGGATGTGCCCTCTACCCTTCTAGAAGACAGGCATGAGGAGCTGTGTGATCTCCATGCAGTCATTCCTCAGCTCTCACACATCTTCCCCGATATCACTGGCTCACCCTCCCTCAACCTCGCGGAGAACCCGACCATCCCTATCCCTCTCACCGTCCAAGAGGCTCTCTCAGGCCCTCATGCTGCCGAATGGCGTGCTGCCATGGACGCGGAGATTGCAGCATTCACTCGCAACCACTCTTTCGATGACGAGACTCCACCTCCAGGAGTCAACATCGTCGGGGGCAAGTGGTTGTTCCGTGTAAAACAGCTCCCAGACGAGGCACCGGTGTTCAAAGCGCGTTACGTAGCCAAGGGCTTCACCCAGCAGCGGTACCGCGACTTCGACCTAATCTTCTCCCCCACATCCAAACCTCCCACCATTCGAACGCTCATGGATGTTGCAGCTCGAGAAGACTTTGAGATCAAATCCATGGATGCCTCCTCCGCTTTCCTACAAGGACGTCTCAAGGAGACAGTGTTCATGGACAGACCAGAAGGCTTCCCAGGAGAATTCCCTCCCAACACAGTCTGGAAGCTGAATCGCCCCGTCTACGGCCTTAAACAAGCCCCTCGCGAATGGCACAACAAGGTGAAAGAAGTCCTCCTCTCCCTGGACTTCCACCCCTCAACTGCTGACCCGACTCTCTTCATCCGTCGTCATTCTGAGCCATTCTACATCCTAGTCTACGTGGATGATTTTATCCTCGTTGCCAAGGACTCGGCCCAAATGACCTCTGTCCAGGCAGCCCTGAGCAAGGCCCTCCAGATGAAAGACCTTGGTGACCTCAAGCACTACCTGGGAATGGAGATCACTCGTGATCGCAAGGCTCGCACCATCTCACTCTCCCAGGAGTTCTACATCGACAATGTGCTCAAGCGGTTTGAGATGGAGCTGTGCACACCTGTTGCCACCCCGCTGCCGCTGCAACACCTCCTTACAGCTCCTGCTGTACCCACACCAGAGGCCTGCTCTGAGCCATACCCGGAACTTGTTGGGTCCCTCATGTACGCCATGATGTGCACCCGACCGGACTTGGCCTACCCAGTCAGTGTTCTCTCTCGTTACGTGGCCCCGGGTCGCTTCACTAATCTTCATTGGAAGGCAGCAAAGCGGGTGCTGCGCTATCTTAAGGGCACAAAGTCCCACGTTCTCACACTCGGTGGGCTCTCCCCTCCTCGCCTGGAAGGTTACACAGACTCCTCCTGGGCTGATGACCAGACCGACCGGCGCTCCTCTCAGGGGTACTGCTTCACCCTCGGGAGCGGAACTGTCAGTTGGCGCTCCACCAGGTCGTCTGCAGTCTCCCTCTCCTCCTGTGAGGCGGAGCTCTACGCAGGCACCATGGCTGCTCAGGAGGCCCGTTGGTTCACCTTCCTACTCCAAGAGCTTGGCTTCCCTCAGTCAGCCCCCACCCTCTGGTGTGACAACCAGAGTACCATCCACATCTCTCAAGACCCTGTGTATCACACCCGCACCAAGCATATTGAACTTCGGCACTTCTTCATTCGTCACCTTGTGCAACAAGAGCAGCTGAAGGTGGAATACGTGGCATCTGACTGCAACCTGGCTGACCTGTTCACCAAGCCCCTTGGGAAGGTTCCCCACCATCGTCTCCTTGGCGCCATGGGGCTCTGCGCTCCTCCTTCTCCGCCATGAGTTCGATTGACGCCTCAGGGGGGGTGTTGGTGTTAGGCCCCAATCTCACATTTTGTACTTGTACTTTTATATCCTAGTTTAGTGTAGTTTGCACTTTGTGTTTGGTTGGGTGTACACCCACATCCCAACCAAACCCAAATGTAATCTCCAAGCAATCTCCAACTCACCAATTGGAGATTGCCTTGGGATTACCCTTGATTCCCTAGGATTGCCTCCTGATTCCCTCCTCATCCCTACCTTGCTCATTCCGGATGTACTTAAAGAGCTTTGAGCTCACTACTATAGTATCGATTCTAAGCTCAAGTTCTGACACTGGGAGCAACTCGCCTGGCTGGTGGGGGTGTTGGGAGCAACTCGCCTAGCTGGTGGGGGTGTTGGGAGCAACTCGCCTGGCTGGTGGGGGTGCTAGGAGCAACTCACCTGGCTGGTGGGGGTGCTAGGAGCAACTCAACTGGATAGTGGGGGTGCTGGGAGCAACTCAACTGGATGGCGGGGGTGCTAGGAGCAACTCACCTGGCTGGTGGGGGTGCTGGGAGCAACTCAACTGGCTGGTGGGGGTGCTGGGAGCAACTCAACTTGCTGGTGGGGGTGCTAGGAGCAACTAGCCTGGCTGGTGGGGGTGCTGGGAGCAACTCGCCGGGGGTGCTGGGAGCAACTCGCCTGGCTGGTGGGGGTGCTGTGAGCAACTTGCCTGGCTGGTGGAAGTGCTGGGAGCAACTCACCTGGCTGGTGCAGGTGCTGGGAGCAACTCGCCTGGCTGGTGGGGGTGCTGGGAGCAACTCACGTGGCTGGTGGGGGTGCTGGGAGCAACTCAACTGGCTGGTGGGGGTGCTGGGAGCAACTCAACTGGCTGGTGGGGGTGCTGGGAGCAACTCGCCTGGCTGGTGGGGGTGCTGAGAGCAACTCGCCTGGCTGGTGGGGGTGCAGGGAGCAACTCACCTGGCTGGTGGGGGTGCTGGGAGCAACTCGCCTGGCTGGTGGGGGTGCTGGGAGCAACTGACCTGGCTGGTGGGGGTGCTGGGAGCAACTCACCTGGCTGGTGGGGGTGCTGGGAGCAACTCAACTGGCTGGTGGGGTGATGGAAAGCGGGAGAATGGGGCGGGGTGATGGAAAGCGGGATAATTGGGCGGGGTGATGGAAAGCGGGAGAATGGAGCGGGGTGATGGAACCCGGGAGAATGGGGCGGAGTGATGGAAAGCGGGAGAGGGGCGGGGTGATGGAAATCGGGAGAATGGGGCGGGGTGATGGAAAGCGGGAGAATAGGGCGGGGTTATGGAAAGCGGGAGAATGGGGCGGAATGATGGAAAGCGGGAGAATGGGGCGGATTGATGGAAAGCGGGAGAATGGGGCGGGGTGATGGAAAGCGGGAGAACGGGGCGGGTGATGGAAAGCGGGAGAATGGGACGGGGTGATGGAAAGCGGGAGAATTGGACGGGGTGATGGATAGAGGGAGAATGGGGCGGAGTGATGGAAAGAGGGAGAATGGGGCGGGGTGATGGAAAGAGGGAGAATGGGCAGGGTGATGGAAAGCGGGAGAATGGGGCGGGGTGATGGAAAGCGGGAGAATGGGGCGGGGTGATGGACAGCGGGAGAATGGGGAGGGGTGATGGAAAGCAAGAGAATGGGGCGGGGTGATGGAAAGCGGGAGAATGGGCCGGGGTGATGGAAAGCGGGAGAATGGGGCGGGGTGATGGAAAGCGGGAGAATGGGGAGGGGTGATGGAAAGAGGGAGAATTGGGCGGGTTGATGGAAAGCGGGAGAATGGAGCGGGGTGATGGAAAGCGGGAGAATGGGGCGGGGTGATGGAAAGCGGGAGAATGGGGCGGGGTGATGGAAAGAGAGAAAATAGGGCGAGGTGATGGAAAGCGGGAGAATGGGGTGGTGTGATGGAAAGAGGGAGAATGGGGCAGGGTGATGGAAAGAGGGAGAATGGGGCGGGGTGATGGAAAGCGGGAGAATGGGGCGGGGTGATGGAAAGAGGGAGAATGGGGCGGGGTGATGGAAGGCGGGAGAATGGGGCGGGGTGATGCAAATCGGGAGAATGGGGTGGGGTGATGGAAAGCGGGAGAATGGGGCGGGGTGATGGAAAGCGGGAGAATGGGGCGGGGTGATGGAAGGCGGGAGAATGGGGCGGGGTGATGGAAAGAGGGAGAATGGGGCAGGGTGATGGAAAGCGGTAGAATGGGGCGGGTGATGGAAAGCGGGAGAATGGGGCGGGGTGATGGAAAGAGGGAGAATGGGGCGGGGTGATGGAAAGCGAGAGAATGGGGCGGGGTGATGGAAAGAGGGAGAATGGGCCGGGGTGATGGAAAGCGGGAGAATGGGGCGGGGTGATGGAAAGCGGGAGAATGGGGCGGGGTGATGGAAGGCGGGAGAATGGGGCGGGGTGATGGAAAGAGGGAGAATGGGGCAGGGTGATGGAAAGCGGGAGAATGGGGTGGGTGATGGAAAGCGGGAGAATGGGGCGGGGTGATGGAAAGAGGGAGAATAAGGCGGGGTGATGGAAAGCGAGAGAATGGGGCGGGGTGATGGAAAGAGGGAGAATGGGCCGGGGTGATGGAAAGCGGGAGAATGGGGCGGTTTGATGGAAAGAGGGAGAATGGGGAGGGGTGATGGAAAGAGGGAGAATTGGGCGGGGTGATGGAAAGCGGGAGAATGGAGCGGGGTGATGGAAAGCGGGCGGGGTGATGGAAAGCGGAAGAATGGGGCGGGGTGATAGAAAGAGGGAGAATGGGGCGGGGTGATAGAAAGCGGGAGAATGGGGCGGGGTGATGGAAAGAGGGAGAATGGGGCGGGGTGATAGAAGGCGGGAGAATGGGGCGGGGTGATGCAAATCGAGAGAATGGGGTGGGGTGATGGAAAGCGGGAGAATGGGGCAGGGTGATGGAAAGCGGGAGAAGGGGGCGGGGTGATGGATAGAGGGAGAATGGGGCGGGATGATGGAAAGCGGGAGAATGGGGCGGGTGATGGAAAGCGGGAGAATAGGGCGGGGTGATGGAAAGCGGGAGAATGGGGCGGGGTGATGGAAAGAGAGAAAATAGGGCGAGGTGATGGAAAGCGGGAGAATGGGGTAGTGTGATGGAAAGAGGGAGAATGGGGCGGGGTGATGGAAAGAGGGAGAATGGGGCGGGGTGATGGAAAGCGGGAGAATGGGGCGGGGTGATGGAAAGAGGGAGAATGGGGCGGGGTGATGGAAGGCGGGAGAATGGGGCGGGGTGATGCAAATCGGGAGAATGGGGTGGGGTGATGGAAAGCGGGAGAATGGGGCGGGGTGATGGAAAGCGGGAGAATGGGGCGGGGTGATGGAAGGCGGGAGAATGGGGCGGGGTGATGGAAAGAGGGAGAATGGGGCAGGGTGATGGAAAGCGGGAGAATGGGGCGGGTGATGGAAAGCGGGAGAATGGGGCGGGGTGATGGAAAGAGGGAGAATGGGGCGGGGTGATGGAAAGCGAGAGAATGGGGCGGGGTGATGGAAAGAGGGAGAATGGGCCGGGGTGATGGAAAGCGGGAGAATGGGGCGGTTTGATGGAAAGAGGGAGAATGGGGAGGGGTGATGGAAAGAGGGAGAATTGGGCGGGGTGATGGAAAGCGGGAGAATGGAGCGGGGTGATGGAAAGCGGGCGGGGTGATGGAAAGCGGAAGAATGGGGCGGGGTGATAGAAAGAGGGAGAATGGGGCGGGGTGATAGAAAGCGGGAGAATGGGGCGGGGTGATGGAAAGAGGGAGAATGGGGCGGGGTGATGGAAGGCGGGAGAATGGGGCAGGGTGATGCAAATCGAGAGAATGGGGTGGGGTGATGGAAAGCGGGAGAATGGGGCAGGGTGATGGGAAGCGGGAGAATGGGGCGGGGTGATGGAAGGCGGGAGAAGGGGGCGGGGTGATGGATAGAGGGAGAATGGGGCGGGATGATGGAAAGCGGGAGAATGGGGCGGGTGATGGAAAGCGGGAGAATGGGGCAGGGTGATGGAAAGAGGGAGAATGGGGCGGGGTGATGGAAAGCGAGAGAATGGGGCGGGGTGATGGAAAGAGGGAGAATGGGGCGGAGTGATGGAAAGCGGGAGAGTGGGGCGGGTTGATGGAAAGAGGGAGAATGGGGAGGGGTGATGGAAAGAGGGAGAATTGGGCGGGGTGATGGAAAGCGGGAGAATGGAGCGGGGTGATGGAAAGCGGGAGAATGGGGCGGGGTGATAGAAAGAGGGAGAATGGGGCGGGGTGATGGAAAGCGGGAAAATGGGGCGGGTTGATGGAAAGAGGGAGAATGGGGCGGGGTGATGGAAAGAGGGAGAATGGGGCGGGGTGATGGAAAGCGGGAGAATGGAGCGGGGTGATGGAAAGAGGGAGAATGGAGAGGGGTGATAGAAAGAGGGAGAATTGGGCGGGGTGATGGAAAGCGGGAGAATGGAGCGGGGTGATGGAAAGCGGGAGAATGGGGCAGGGTGATGGAAAGCGGGAGAATGGGGCGGGGTGATGGAAAGAGGGAAAATGGGGCGTGGTGATGGAAAGCGGGAGAATTGGGCGGGGTGATGGAAAGCGGGAGAATGGAGCGGGGTGGTGGAAAGCGGGAGAATGGGGCGGGGTGATGGAAAGAGGGAGAATGAGGAGGGGTGATGGAAATGGGGAGAATTGGGCGGGGTGATGGAAAGCGGGAGAATGGAGCGGGGTGATGGAAAGAGGGAGAATGGGGCGGGGTGATGGAAAGCGGGAGAATGGGGCGGGGTGAAGGAAAGAGGGAGAATGGGGCGGGGTGATGGAAAGCGGGAGAATGGGGCGGGGTGATGGAAAGAGGGAGAATGGGGCGGGGTGATGGAAAGAGGGAGAATGGGGCGGGGTGATTGAAAGCGGGAGAATGGGGCGGGGTGATGGAAAGAGGGAGAATGGGGAGGGGTGATGGAAAGAGGGAGAATTGGGCGGGGTGATGGAAAGCGGGAGAATGGAGCGGGGTGATGGAACGAGGGAAAATGGGGCGGGGTGATGGAATGCGGGAGAATGGGGCGGGGTGATGGAAAGAGGGAGAATGGGGCGGGGTGATGGAAAGCGGGAGAATGGGGCGGGGTGATGGAAAGCGCGAGAATGGGGTTGGGTGATGGAAAGCGGGAGAATGGGGCGGGGTGATGGAAAGCGGGAGAATGGGGCGGGGTGATGGAAATCGGGAAAATGGGGCGGGGTGATGGAAAGCGGGAGAATGGGGCGGGGTGATGGAAAGAGGGAGAATGGGGCGGGGTGATGGAAGGCGGGAGAATGGGGCGGGGTGATGGAAAGGGGGAGAATTGGGCAGGGTGATGGAAAGATGGAGAATGGGGCGGGGTGATGGAAAGAGGGAGAATGGGGAGGGGTGATGGAAAGAGTGAGAATGGGGTGGGGTGATGGAAAGCGGGAGAATGGGGCAGGGTGTTGGAAAGCGGGAGAATGGGGCGGGGTGATGGAAATCGGGAGAATGGGGCGGGGTGATGGAAAGCGGAGAATGGGGCGGGGTGATGGAAATCGGGAGAATGGGGCGGGGTGATGGAAAGCGGGAGAATAAGGCGGGGTGATGGAAAGCGAGAGAATGGGACGGGGTGATGGAAAACGGGAGAATGGGATGGGGTGATGGAAAGTGAAAGAATTGGGCGGGGTGATGGATAGAGGGAGAATGGGGCGGGGTGATGGAAAGCAGGAGAATAGGGCGGGGTGATGGAAAGAGGGAGAATGGGGTGGGGTGATGGAAAGCGTAAGAATGGGGCGGGGTGATGGAAAGAGGGAGAATGGGGCGGGGTGATGGAAGGCGGGAGAATGGGGCGGGGTGATGGAAAGCGGGAGAATGGGGCGGGGTGATGAAAGGCGGGAGAATGGGGCGGGGTGATGGAAAGAGGGAGAATGGACAGGGGTGATAGAAAGAGGGAGAATTGGGCGGGGTGATGGAAAGCGGGAGAATTGGGCAGGGTGATGGAAAGCGGGAGAATGGAGCGGGGTGGTGGAAAGCGGGAGAATGGGGCGGGGTGATGGAAAGAGGAAGAATGAGGAGGGGTGATGGAAAGAGGGAGAATTGAGCGGGGTGATGGAAAGCGGGAGGATGGAGCGGGGTGATGGAAAGAGGGAGAATGGGGCGGGGTGATGGAAAGCGGGAGAATGGGGCGGGGTGATGGAAAGAGGGAGAATGGGGCGGGGTGATGGAAAGCGGGAGAATGGGGCGGGGTGATGGAAAGAGGGAGAATGGGGAGGGGTGATGGAAATAGGGAGAATTGGGCGGGGTGATGGAAAGCGGGAGAATGGAGCGGGGTGATGGAACGAGGGAAAATGGGGCAGGGTGATGGAATGCGGGAGAATGGGGCGGGGTGATGGAAAGAGGGAGAATGGGGCTGGGTGATGGAAAGCGGGAGAATGGGGCGGGGTGATGGAAAGCGGGAGAATGGGGCGGGTGATGGAAAGAGGGAGAATGGGGAGGGGTGATGGAAAGAGGGAGAATTGGGCGGGGTGATGGAAAGCGGGAGAATGGAGCGGGGTGATGGAAAGAGTGAAAATGGGGCGGGGTGATGGAAAGCGGGAGAATGGGGCGGGGTGATGGAAAGAGGGAGAATGGGGCGGGGTGATAGAAAGCGGGAGAATGGGGCGGGGTGATGGAAAGCGGGAGAATGGGGCGGGGTGATGGAAAGCGGGAGAATGGGGCGGGGTGATGGAAAGCGAGAGAATGGGGCGGGGTGATGGAAAGCGGGAGAATGGGGCGGGGTGATGGAAAGCGGGAGAATGGGGCGGGGTGATGGAAATCGGGAAAATGGGGCGGGGTGATGGAAAGCGAGAGAATGGGGCGGGGTGATGGAAAGAGGGAGAATGGGGCGGGGTGATGGATGGCGGGAGAATGGGGCGGGGTGATGGAAAGGGGGAGAATTGGGCAGGGTGATGGAAAGATGGAGAATGGGGCGGGGTGATGGAAGGCGGGAGAATGGGGCGGGGTGATGGAAAGAGGGAGAATGGGGCGGGGAGATAGAAAGCAGGAGAATGGGGCGGGGTGATGGAAAGAGGGAGAATGGGGAGGGGTGATGGAAAGAGTGAGAATGGGGCAGGGTGATGGAAAGCGGGAGAATGGGGCGGGGTGATGGAAAGCGGGAGAATGGGGCGGGGTGATGGAAATCGGGAGAATGGGGCGGGGTGATGGAAAGCGGGAGAATGGGGCGGGATGATGGAAATCGGGAGAATGGGGCGGGGTGATGGAAAACGGGAGAATAAGGCGGGGTGATGGAAAGCGAGAGAATGGGGCGGGGTGATGGATAGAGGGAGAATGGGGCGGGGTGATGGAAAGTGGGAGAATGGGGCGGGGTGATGGAAAGAGGGAGAATGGGGCGGGGTGATGGAAAGCGTGAGAGTGGGGCGGGGTGATGGAAAGAAGGAGAATGGGGGGGGGGTGATGGAAGGCGGGAGAATAGGGCGGGGTGATGGAAAGCGGGAGAATTGGGCGGGGTGATGGAAAGCGGGAGAATGGGGCGGGGTGATGAAAGGCGGGAGAATGGGGCGGGGTGATGGAAAGAGGGAGAATGGGGCGGGGTGATGGAAAGCGGGAGAATGGGGCGGGGTGATGGAAAGCGGGAGAATTGGGGCGGGAGAATGGGGCGGGGTGATGAAAGGCGGGAGAATTGGGCGGGGTGATGGAAAGAGGGAGAATGGGGCGGGGTGATGGAAAGCGGGAGAATGGGGCGGGGAGATGGAAAGAGGGAGAATGGGGCGAGGTGATGGAAACAGGGAGAATGGGGCGGGGTGAAGGAAAGAGGGAGAGTGGGACGGGGTGATGGAAAGAGGGAGAATGGGGCGGAGAGATGGAAAGAGGGAGAATGGAGAGGGGTGATGGAAAGCGGGAGAATTGGGCGGGGTGATGGAAAGCGGGAGAATGGAGCAGGGTGATGGAAAGCGGGAGAATGGGGTAGGGTGATAGAAAGCGGGAGAATGGGGCGGGGTGATGGAAAGAGGGAGAATGGGGCGGGGTGATCGAAAGCAGGAGAATGGGGCGGGGTAATGGAAAGAGGGAGAATGGGGCGGGGTGATGGAAAGAGGGAGAATGGGGCGGGGTGATGGAAAGCGGGAGAATGGGGCGTGGTGATGGAAAGAGGGAGAATGGGGAGGGGTGATGGAAAGAGGGAGAATTGGGCGGGGTGATGGAAAGCGGGAGAATGGGGCGGGGTGATGGAAAGCGGGAGAATGGGGCGGGGTGATGGAAAGAGGGAGAATGGGGCGGGGTGATGGAAAGAGGGAGAATGGGGCGGGGTGATGGAAAGCGGGAGAATGGGGCGGGGTGATGGAAAACGGGAGAATGGGGCGGGGTGATGGAAAACGGGAGAATAAGGCGGGGTGATGGAAAGCGAGAGAATGGGGCGGGGTGATGGATAGAGGGAGAATGGGGCGGGGTGATGGAAAGTGGGAGAATGGGGCGGGGTGATGGAAAGAGGGAGAATGGGGCGGGGTGATGGAAAGCGTGAGAATGGGGCGGGGTGATGGAAAGAAGGAGAATGGGGGGGGGGTGATGGAAGGCGGGAGAATAGGGCGGGGTGATGGAAAGCGGGAGAATTGGGCGGGGTGATGGAAAGCGGGAGAATGGGGCGGGGTGATGAAAGGCGGGAGAATGCGGCGGGGTGATGGAAAGAGGGAGAATGGGGCGGGGTGATGGAAAGCGGGAGAATGGGGCGGGGTGATGGAAAGAGGGAGAATGGGGAGGGGTGATGGAAAGCGGGAGAACGGGGCGGGGTGATGGAAAGCGGGAGAATTGGGCGGGGTGATGGAAAGCGGGAGAATGGGGCGGGGTGATGAAAGGCGGGAGAATTGGGCGGGGTGATGGAAAGAGGGAGAATGGGGCGGGGTGATGGAAAGCGGGAGAATGGGGCGGGGAGATGGAAAGAGGGAGAATGGGGCGAGGTGATGGAAACAGGGAGAATGGGGCGGGGTGACGGAAAGAGGGAGAGTGGGACGGGGTGATGGAAAGAGGGAGAATGGGGCGGAGAGATGGAAAGAGGGAGAATGGAGAGGGGTGATGGAAAGCGGGAGAATTGGGCGGGGTGATGGAAAGCGGGAGAATGGAGCAGGGTGATGGAAAGCGGGAGAATGGGGTAGGGTGATAGAAAGCGGGAGAATGGGGCGGGGTGATGGAAAGAGGGAGAATGGGGCGGGGTGATCGAAAGCAGGAGAATGGGGCGGGGTAATGGAAAGAGGGAGAATGGGGCGGGGTGATGGAAAGCGGGAGAATGGGGCGGGGTGATGGAAAGCGGGAGAATGGGGCGGGGTGATGGAAAGAGGGAGAATGGGGCGGGGTGATGGAAAGAGGAAGAATGGGGCGGGGTGATGGAAAGCGGGAGAATGGGGCGGGGTGATGGAAAGAGGGAGAATGGGGCGGGGTGATGGAAAGCGGGAGAATGGGTCGGGGTGATGGAAAGAGGGAGAATGGGGCGGGGTGATGGAAAGCGGGAGAATGGGGCGGGGTGATGGAAAGCAGGAGAATGGGGCGGGGTGATGGAAAGCGGGAGAATGGGGCGGGGTGATGGAAAGCAGGAGAATGGGGCGGGGTTATGGAATGAGGGAGTTTGGGGCGGGGTGATGGAAAGCGGGAGAATGGGGCGGGGTGATGGAAAGAGGGAGAATGGGGCGGGGTGATGGAAAGCGGGAGTATGGGGCGGGGTTATGGAAAGAGGGAGAATGGGGCGGGGTGATGGAAAGCGGAAGAATGGGGCGGGGTGATCGAAAGAGGGAGAATGGGGCGGGGTGATGGAAAGAGTGAGAATGGGGCGGGGTGATGGAAAGCGGGAGAATGGGGCGGGGTGTTGGAAAGCGGGAGAATGGGGCGGGGTGATGGAAAGCGGGAGAATGGGGCGAGGTGATGGAAAGCGGGAGAATGGGGCGGGGTGATGGAAATCGGGAGAATGGGGCGGGGTGATGGAAAGCGGGAGAATAAGGCGGGGTGATGGAAAGCGAGAGAATGGGGCGGGGTGATGGAAAACGGGAGAATGGGACGGGGTGATGGAAAGCGGGAGAATGGGGCGGGGTGATGGAAAGCGGGAGAATGGGGCGGGGTGATGGAAAGCGGGAGAATGGGGCGGGGTGATGGAAAGAGGGAGAATGGGGCGGGGTGATGGAAAGCGGGAGAATGGGGCGGGGTGATGGAAAGCGGGAGTATGGGGCGGGGTGATGGAAAGCGGGAGAACGGGTCGGGGTGATGGAAAGAGGGAGAATGGGGCGGGGTGATGGAAAGCGGGAGAATGGGGCGGAGTGATGGAAAGCGGGAGAATGGGGCGGGGTTATTGAATGAGGGAGATTGGGGCGGGGTGATGGAAAGCGGGAGAATGGGGCGGGGTGATGGAAAGAGGGAGAATGGGGCGGGGTGATGAAAAGCGGGAGTATGGGGCGGGGTTATGGAAAGAGGGAGAATGGGGCGGGGTGATGGAAAGCGGAAGAATGGGGCGGGTTGATCGAAAGAGGGAGAATGGGGCGGGGTGATAGAAAGCGGGAGAATGGAGCGGGGTGATGGAAAGAGGGAGAATTGGGCGGGGTGATGGAAAGCGGGAGAATGGAGCGGGGTGATGGAAAGAGGGAGAATGGGGCGGGGTGATGGAAAGAGGGAGAATGGGGCGGGGTGATGGAAAGCGGGAGAATGGGGCGGGGTGATGGAAAGAGGGAGAATGGGGAGGGGTGATGGAAAGAGGGATAATTGGGCGGGGTGATGGAAAGCGGGAGAATGGAGCGGGGTGATGGAACCCGGGAGAATGGGGCGGAGTGATGGAAAGCGGGAGAGGGGCGGGGTGATGGAAATCGGGAGAATGGGGCGGGGTGATGGAAAGCGGGAGAATAGGGCGGGGTTATGGAAAGCGGGAGAATGGGGCGGGATGATGGAAAGCGGGAGAATGGGGCGGGGTGATGGAAAGCGGGAGAAGGGGGCGGGGTGATGGAAAGCGGGAGAACGGGGCGGGTGATGGAAAGTGGGAGAATGGGACGGGGTGATGGAAAGCGGGAGAATTGGGCGGGGTGATGGATAGAGGGAGAATGGGGCGGAGTGATGGAAAGAGGGAGAATGGGGCGGGGTGATGGAAAGAGGGAGAATGGGCAGGGTGATGGAAAGCGGGAGAATGGGGCGGGGTGATGGAAAGCGGGAGAATGGGGCGGGGTGATGGACAGCGGGAGAATGGGGAGGGGTGATGGAAAGCATGAGAATGGGGCGGGGTGATGGAAAGCGGGAGAATGGGCCGGGGTGATGGAAAGCGGGAGAATGGGGCGGGGTGATGGAAAGCGGGAGAATGGGGAGGGGTGATGGAAAGAGGGAGAATTGGACGGGTTGATGGAAAGCGGGAGAATGGAGCGGGGTGATGGAAAGCGGGAGAATGGGGCGGGGTGATGGAAAGCGGGAGAATGGGGCGGGGTGATGGAAAGAGAGAAAATAGGGCGAGGTGATGGAAAGCGGGAGAATGGGGTGGTGTGATGGAAAGAGGGAGAATGGGGCGGGGTGATGGAAAGAGGGAGAATGGGGCGGGGTGATGGAAAGCGGGAGAATGGGGCGGGGTGATGGAAAGAGGGAGAATGGGGCGGGGTGATGGAAGGCGGGAGAATGGGGTGGGGTGATGCAAATCGGGAGAATGGGGTGGGGTGATGGAAAGCGGGAGAATGGGGCGGGGTGATGGAAAGCGGGAGAACGGGGCGGGGTGATGGAAGGCGGGAGAATGGGGCGGGGTGATGGAAAGAGGGAGAATGGGGCGGGGTGATGGAAAGCGAGAGAATGGGGCGGGGTGATGGAAAGAGGGAGAATGGGCCGGGGTGATGGAAAGCGGGAGAATGGGGCGGTTTGATGGAAAGAGGGAGAATGGGGAGGGGTGATGGAAAGAGGGAGAATTGGGCGGGGTGATGGAAAGCGGGAGAATGGAGCGGGGTGATGGAAAGCGGGCGGGGTGATGGAAAGCGGAAGAATGGGGCGGGGTGATAGAAAGAGGGAGAATGGGGCGGGGTGATAGAAAGCGGGAGAATGGGGCGGGGTGATGGAAAGAGGGAGAATGGGGCGGGGTGATGGAAGGCGGGAGAATGGGGCGGGGTGATGCAAATCGAGAGAATGGGGTGGGGTGATGGAAAGCGGGAGAATGGGGCAGGGTGATGGAAAGCGGGAGAATGGGGCGGGGTGATGGAAGGCGGGAGAATGGGCCGGGGTGATGGATAGAGGGAGAATGGGGCGGGATGATGGAAAGCGGGAGAATGGGGCGGGTGATGGAAAGCGGGAGAATGGGGCAGGGTGATGGAAAGAGGGAGAATGGGGCGGGGTGATGGAAAGCGAGAGAATGGGGCGGGGTGATGGAAAGAGGGAGAATGGGGCGGGGTGATGGAAAGCGGGAGAGTGGGGCGGGTTGATGGAAAGAGGGAGAATGGGGAGGGGTGATGGAAAGAGGGAGAATTGGGCGGGGTGATGGAAAGCGGGAGAATGGAGCGGGGTGATGGAAAGCGGGAGAATGGGGCGGGGTGATAGAAAGAGGGAGAATGGGGCGGGGTGATGGAAAGCGGGAAAATGGGGCGGGGTGATGGAAAGAGGGAGAATGGGGCGGGGTGTTGGAAAGAGGGAGAATGGGGCGGGGTGATGGAAAGCGGGAGAATGGGGCGGGGTGATGGAAAGAGGGAGAATGGAGAGGGGTGATAGAAAGAGGGAGAATTGGGCGGGGTGATGGAAAGCGGGAGAATGGAGCGGGGTGATGGAAAGCGGGAGAATGGGGCGGGGTGATGGAAAGCGAGAGAATGGGGCGGGGTGATGGAAAGAGGGAAAATGGGGCGTGGTGATGGAAAGCGGGAGAATTGGGCGGGGTGATGGAAAGCGGGAGAATGGAGCGGGGTGGTGGAAAGCGGGAGAATGGGGCGGGGTGATGGAAAGAGGGAGAATGAGGAGGGGTGATGGAAAGAGGGAGAATTGGGCGGGGTGATGGAAAGCGGGAGAATGGAGCGGGGTGATGGAAAGAGGGAGAATGGGGCGGGGTGATGGAAAGCGGGAGAATGGGGCGGGGTGATGGAAAGAGGGAGAATGGGGCGGGGTGATGGAAAGCGGGAGAATGGGGCGGGGTGATGGAAAGAGGGAGAATGGGGCGGGGTGATGGAAAGAGGGAGAATGGGGCGGGGTGATGGAAAGCGGGAGAATGGGGCGGGGTGATGGAAAGAGGGAGAATGGGGAGGGGTGATGGAAAGAGGGAGAATTGGGGCGGGGTGATGGAAAGCGGGAGAATGGGGTGGGGTGATGGAAAGAGGGAGAATGGAGAGGGGTGATAGAAAGAGGGAGAATTGGGCGGGGTGATGGAAAGCGGGAGAATGGAGCGGGGTGATGGAAAGCGGGAGAATGGGGCGGGGTGATGGAAAGCGGGAGAATGGGGCGGGGTGATGGAAAGAGGGAAAATGGGGCGTGGTGATGGAAAGCGGGAGAATTGGGCGGGGTGATGGAAAGCGGGAGAATGGAGCGGGGTGGTGGAAAGCGGGAGAATGGGGCGGGGTGATGGAAAGAGGGAGAATGAGGAGGGGTGATGGAAAGAGGGAGAATTGGGCGGGGTGATGGAAAGCGGGAGAATGGAGCGGGGTGATGGAAAGAGGGAGAATGGGGCGGGGTGATGGAAAGCGGGAGAATGGGGCGGGGTGATGGAAAGAGGGAGAATGGGGTGGGGTGATGGAAAGCGGGAGAATGGGGCGGGGTGATGGAAAGAGGGAGAATGGGGCGGGGTGATGGAAAGAGGGAGAATGGGGCGGGGTGATGGAAAGCGGGAGAATGGGGCGGGGTGATGGAAAGAGGGAGAATGGGGAGGGGTGATGGAAAGAGGGAGAATTGGGCGGGGTGATGGAAAGCGGGAGAATGGAGCGGGGTGATGGAACGAGGGAAAATGGGGCGGGGTGATGGAATGCGGGAGAATGGGGCGGGGTGATGGAAAGAGGGAGAATGGGGCAGGGTGATGGAAAGCGGGAGAATGGGGCGGGGTGATGGAAAGCGGGAGAATGGGGTTGGGTGATGGAAAGCGGGAGAATGGGGCGGGGTGATGGAAAGCGGGAGAATGGGGCGGGGTGATGGAAAGCGGGAGAATGGGGCGGGGTGATGGAAATCGGGAAAATGGGGCGGGCTGATGGAAAGCGGGAGAATGGGGCGGGGTGATGGAAAGAGGGAGAATGGGGCGGGGTGATGGAAAGCGGGAGAATGGGGCGGGGTGATGGAAAGCGGGAGAACGGGGCGGGGTGATGGAAAGAGGGAGAATGGGGCGCGGTGATGGAAAGCGGGAGAATGGGGCGGGGTGATGGAAAGCGGGAGAATGGGGCGGGGTGATGGAAAGCGGGAGAATGGGGCGGGGTGATGGAAAGCGGGAGAACGGGGCGGGGTGATGGAAAGAGGGAGAATGGGGCGGGGTGATGGAAAGCGGGAGAATGGGGCGGGGTGATGGAAAGAGGGAGAATGGGGCGGGGTGATGGAAAGCGGGAGAATGGGTCGGGGTGATGGAAAGAGGGAGAATGGGGCGGGGTGATGGAAAGCGGGAGAATTGGGCGGGGTGATGGAAAGCGGGAGAATGGGGCGGGGTTATGGAATGAGGGAGATTGGGGCGGGGTGATGGAAAGCGGGAGAATGGGGCGGGGTGATGGAAAGCGGGAGTATGGGGCGGGGTTATGGAAAGAGGGAGAATGGGGCGGGGTGATGGAAAGCGGAAGAATGGGGCGGGGTGATCGAAAGAGGGAGAATGGGGCGGGGTGATGGAAAGAGTGAGAATGGGGCGGGGTTATGGAAAGCGGGAGAATGGGGCGGGGTGTTGGAAAGCGGGAGAATGGGGCGGGGTGATGGAAAGCGGGAGAATGGGGCGAGGTGATGGAAAGCGGGAGAATGGGGCGGGGTGATGGAAATCGGGAGAATGGGGCGGGGTGATGGAAAGCGGGAGAATAAGGCGGGGTGATGGAAAGTGAGAGAATGGGGCGGGGTGATGGAAAACGGGAGAATGGGACGGGGTGATGGAAAGCGGGAGAATGGGGCGGGGTGATGGAAAGCGGGAGAATGGGGCGGGGTGATGGAAAGCGGGAGAATGGGGCGGGGTGATGGAAAGAGGGAGAATGGGGCGGGGTGATGGAAAGCGGGAGAATGGGGCGGGGTGATGGAAAGCGGGAGAATGGGGCGGGGTGATGGAAAGCGGGAGAACGGGGCGGGGTGATGGAAAGAGGGAGAATGGGGCGGGGTGATGGAAAGCGGGAGAATGGGGCGGGGTGATGGAAAGCGGGAGAATGGGGCGGGGTTATGGAATGAGGGAGATTGGGGCGGGGTGATGGAAAGCGGGAGAATGGGGCGGGGTGATGGAAAGCGGGAGAATGGGGCGGGGTTATGGAATAAGGGAGATTGGGGCGGGGTGATGGAAAGCGAGAGAATGGGGCGGGGTGATGGAAAGCGGGAGTATGGGGCGGGGTTATGGAAAGAGGGAGAATGGGGCGGGGTGATGGAAAGCAGAAGAATGGGGCGGGGTGATCGAAAGAGAGAGAATGGGGCGGGGTGATGGAAAGAGTGAGAATGGGGCGGGGTGATGGAAAGCGGGAGAATAGGGCGGGGTGTTGGAAAGCGGGAGAATGGGGCGGGGTGATGGAAAGCGGGAGAATGGGGCGAGGTGATGGAAAGCGGGAGAATGGGGCGGGGTGATGGAAATCGGGAGAATGGGGCGGGGTGATGGAAAGCGGGAGAATAAGGCGGGGTGATGGAAAGCGAGAGAATGGGGCGGGGTGATGGAAAACGGGAGAATGGGGCGGGGTGATGGAAAGCGGGAGAATAAGGCGGGGTGATGGAAAGCGAGAGAATGGGGCGGGGTGATGGAAAGCGGGAGAATGGAGCGGGGTGGTGGAAAGCGGGAGAATGGGGCGGGGTGATGGAAAGAGGGAGAATGAGGAGGGGTGATGGAAAGAGGGAGAATTGGGCGGGGTGATGGAAAGCGGGAGAATGGAGCGGGGTGATGGAAAGCGGGAGAATGGGGCGGGGTGATGGAAAGAGGGAGAATGGGGCGGGGTGATGGAAAGCGGGAGAATGGGGCGGGGTGATGGAAAGCGGGAGAATGGGGCGGGGTGATGGAAAGCGGGAGAACAGGGCGGGGTGATGGAAAGCGGGAGAATGGGGCGGGGTGATGGAAAGCGGGAAAATGGGGCGGGGTTATGGAATGAGGGAGATTGGGGCGGGGTGATGGAAAGCGGGAGAATGGGGCGGGGTGATGGAAAGAGGGAGAATGGGGCGGGGTGATGGAAAGCGGGAGTATGGGGCGGGGTTATGGAAAGAGGGAGAATGGGGCGGGGTGATGGAAAGCGGAAGAATGGGGCGGGGTGATCGAAAGAGGGAGAATGGGGCGGGGTGATGGAAAGAGTGAGAATGGGGCGGGGTGATGGAAAGCGGGAGAATGGGGCGGGGTGTTGGAAAGCGGGAGAATGGGGCGGGGTGATGGAAAGCGGGAGAATGGGGCGAGGTGATGGAAAGCGGGAGAATGGGGCGGGGTGATGGAAATCGGGAGAATGGGGCAGGGTGATGGAAAGCGGGAGAATAAGGCGGGGTGATGGAAAGCGAGAGAATGGGGCGGGGTGATGGAAAACGGGAGAATGGGGCGGGGTGATGGAAAGCGGGAGAATGGGGCGGGGTGATGGAAAGAGGGAGAATGGGGCGGGGTGATGGAAAGCGTGAGAATGGGGCGGGGTGATGGAAAAAGGGAGAATGGGGCGGGGTGATGGAAGGCGGGAGAATGGGGCGGGCTGATGGAAAGAGGGAGAATGGGGCGGGGTGATGGAAAGCGGGAGAATGGGTCGGGGTGATGGAAAGAGGGAGAATGGGGCGGGGTGATGGAAAGTGGGAGAATGGGGCGGGGTGATGGAAAGAGGGAGAATGGGGCGGGGTGATGGAAAGAGGGAGAATGGGGCGGGGTGATGGAAAGAGGGAGAATGGGGCGGGGAGATGGAAAGAGGAAGAATGGGGCGGGGTGATGGAAAGAGGAAGAATGGGGCGGGGTGATGGAAAGTGGGAGAATGGGGCGGGGAGATGGAAAGAGGAAGAATGGGGCGGGGTGATGGAAAGAGGAAGAATGGGGCGGGGTGATGGAAAGAGGGAGAATGGGGCGGGGTGATGGAAAGAGGGAGAATGGGGCGGGGTGATGGAAAGAGGGAGAATGGGGCGGGAAGATGGAAAGAGGAAGAATGGGGCGGGGTGATGGAAAGAGGAAGAATGGGGCGGGGTGATGGAAAGTGGGAGAATGGGGCGGGGTGATGGAAAGAGGGAGAATGGGGCGGGGTGATGGAAAGCGTAAGAATGGGGCGGGGTGATGGAAGGCGGGAGAATTGGGCGGGGTGATGGAAAGCGGGAGAATCGGGCGGGGTGATGGAAAGCGGGAGAATGGGGCGGGGTGATGAAAGGCGGGAGAATGGGGCGGGGTGATGGAAAGAGGGAGAATGGGGCGGGGTGATGGAAAGCGGGAGAATGGGGCGGGGTGATGGAAAGAGGGAGAATGGGGAGGGGTGATGGAACGCGGGAGAACGGGGCGGGGTGATGGAAAGCGGGAGAATTGGGCGGGGTGATGGAAAGCGGGAGAATGGGGCGGGGTGATGAAAGGCGGGAGAATTGGGCGGGGTGATGGAAAGAGGGAGAATGGGGCGGGGTGATAGAAAGCGGGAGAATGGGGCGGGGAGATGGAAAGAGGGAGAATGGGGCGAGGTGATGGAAACAGGGAGAATGGGGCGGGGTGATGGAAAGAGGGAGAGTGGGACGGGGTGATGGAAAGAGGGAGAATAGGGGGGAGATGGAAAGAGGGAGAATCGAGAGGGGTGATGGAAAGCGGGAGAATTGGGCGGGGTGATGGAAAGCGGGAGAATGGAGCAGGGTGATGGAAAGCGGGAGAATGGGGTAGGGTGATAGAAAGCGGGAGAATGGGGCGGGGTGATGGAAAGAGGGAGAATGGGGCGGGGTGATGGAAAGCGGGAGAATGGGGCGGAGTGATGGAAAGCGGGAGAATGGGGCGGGGTGATGGAAAGCGGGAGAATGGGGCGTGGTGATGGAAAGCGGGAGAATGGGGCGGGGTGATGGGAAAATGGGGCGGGGTGATGGAAAGCGGGAGAACGGGGCGGTGTGATGGAAAGCGGGAGAATGGGGCGGGGTGATGGAAAGCGGGAGCATGGGGTGGGGTGATGGAAGGAGGTAGAATGAGGCGGGGTGATGGAAGGAGGGAGAATGGGGCGGGGTGATGGAAAGCGGGAGAATGGGGCGGGGTGATGGAAAGCGGGAGAATGGGGCGGGGTGATGAAAAGCGGGAGAATGGGGCGGGTTGATGGAAAGCGGGAGCATGGGGTGGGGTGATGGAAGGAGGTAGAATGAGGCGGGGTGATGGAAGGAGGGAGAATGGGGCGGGGTGATGGAAAGCGGGAGAATGGGGCGGGGTGATGGAAAGCAGGAGAATGGGGCGGGGTGATGGAATGCGGGAGAGTGGGGCAGGGTGATGGAAAGCGGGAGAATGGGGCGGGTGATGGAAAGCGGGAGAATGGGGTGGGGTGATGGAAGGAGGGAGAATGGGGAGGGGTGATGGAAAGCGGGGGAATGGGGCGGGATGATGGGAAGCGGGAGAATGGGGCGGGGTGATGGAAAGCGGGAGAATGGGGCGGGGTGATGGAAAGCAGGAGAATGGGGCGGGGAGATGGAAAGCGGGAGAATGGGGCGGGGTGATGGAAGGCGGGAGAATGGGGCGGGGTGATGGAAAGAGGGAGAATGGGGCAGGGTGATGGAAAGCGGGAGAATGGGGCGGGTGATGGAAAGCGGGAGAATGGGGCGGGGTGATGCAAAGCGGGAGAATGGGGCGGGGAGACGGAAAGCGGGAGAATGGGGTGGGGTGATGGAAAGCGGGAGAATGGGGCGGGGTAATGGAAAGCGGGAGAATGGGGCGGCGTGATGGAAAGCGGGAGAATGGGGTGGGGTGAGGGAAGGAGGGAGATTGGGGCGGGGTGATTGAAAGCGGGAGAATGGGGCGGGCTGATAGAAAGTGGGAGAATGGGGCGGGGTGATGGAAGGAGGGAGAATGGGGCGGGGTGATGGAAGGAGGGAGAAGGGGGCGGGGTGATGGAAAGCGGGAGAATGGGGTGGGGTGATGAAAAGCGAGAGAATGGGGCGGGGTGATGGAAAGCGGGAGAATGGGGAGGGCTGATGGAAAGCGGGAGAATGGGGCGGGGTGATCAAAGGAGGGAGAATGGGACGGGGTAATGGAAGGAGGGAGAATGGGGCGGGGTGATGGAAGGAGGGAGAATGGGGCGGGGTGATGGAAAGCGGGAGAATGGGGCGGGGTGGTGGAAAGCGGGAGAATGGGGCGGAGTGATGGAAAGCGGGAGAATGGGGCAGGGTGATGGAAAGAGGGAGAATGGGGCGGGGTGATGGAAAGCGGGAGAATGGGGCGGGGTGATGGAAAGAGGGAGAATGGGGCGGGGTGATGGAAAGCGGGAGAATGGCGCGGGGTGGTGGAAAGCGGGAGAATGGGGCGGGGTGATGGAAAGCGGGAGAATGGGGCGGGTGATGGAAAGCGGGAGAATGGGGAGGGGTGATGGAAAGAGGGAGAATTGGGCGGGTTGATGGAAAGCGGGAGAATGGAGCGGGGTGATGGAAAGCGGGAGAATGGGGCGGGGTGATGGAAAGCGGGAGAATGGGGCGGGGTGATGGAAAGAGAGAAAATAGGGCGAGGTGATGGAAAGCGGGAGAATGGGGTGGTGTGATGGAAAGAGGGAGAATGGGGCGGGGTGATGGAAAGAGGGAGAATGGGGCGGGGTGATGGAAAGCGGGAGAATGGGGCGGGGTGATGGAAAGAGGGAGAATGGGGCGGGGTGATGGAAGGCGGGAGAATGGGGCGGGGTGATGCAAATCGGGAGAATGGGGTGGGGTGATGGAAAGCGGGAGAATGGGGCGGGGTGATGGAAAGCGGGAGAATGGGGCGGGGTGATGGAAGGCGGGAGAATGGGGCGGGGTGATGGAAAGAGGGAGAATGGGGCAGGGTGATGGAAAGCGGGAGAATGGGGCGGGTGATGGAAAGCGGGAGAATGGGGCGGGGTGATGCAAAGCGGGAGAATGGGGCGGGGAGACGGAAAGCGGGAGAATGGGGTGGGGTGATGGAAAGCGGGAGAATGGGGCGGGGTAATGGAAAGCGGGAGAATGGGGCGGCGTGATGGAAAGCGGGAGAATGGGGTGGGGTGAGGGAAGGAGGGAGATTGGGGCGGGGTGATTGAAAGCGGGAGAACGGGGCGGGGTGATGGAAAGTGGGAAAATGGGGCGGGGTGATGCAAAGCGGGAGAATGGGGCGGGGTGATGGAAAGCGGGAGAATGGGGCGGGGTGACGGAAAGCGGGTGAATGGGGCGGGGTTATGGAAAGCGGGAGAATGGGGCGGGGTGATGGAAAGCGGGAGAATGGGACGGGATGATGGAAAGCGGGAGAATGGGGCGGGGTGATGGAAAGCGGGAGAATGGTGCAGGGTGATGGAAGGAGGGAGAATGGGGCAGGGTGATGGGAGGAGGGAGAATGGGGCGGGGTGATGGAAAGCGGGAGAATGGGGCGGGGTGATGGAAAGCGGGAGAATGGGGCAGGGTGATGGAAAGCGGGAGAATAGGGCGGGGTGATGGAAAGTTGGAGAATGGGGCGGAGTGATGGAAAGCGGGAGAATGGGGCAGGGTGATGGAAGGAGGGAGAATGGGGCAGGGTGATGGAAGGAGGGAGAATGGGGCAGGGTGATGGAAAGGGAGAGAATGGGGCGGGATGATGGAAAGTTGGAGAATGGGGCGGGGTGATGGAAAGCGGGAGAATGGGGCGGGATGATGGAAAGTTGGAGAATGGGGCGGGGTGATGGAAAGCGGGAGAATGGGGCGGGGTGATGGAAAGAGGGAGAATGGGGCGGGGTGATGTAAAGGGAGAGAATGGGGCGGGGTGATGGAAAGCGGGAGAATGGGGCGGGATGATGGAAAGTTGGAGAATAGGGCGGGGTGATGGAAAGTTGGAGAATGGGGCGGAGTGATGGAAAGCGGGAGAATGGTGCAGGGTGATGGAAGGAGGGAGAATGGGGCAGGGTGATGGAAGGAGGGAGAATGGGGCAGGGTGATGGAAAGGGAGAGAATGGGGCGGGATGATGGAGAGTTGGAGAAAGGGGCGGGGTGATGGAAAGCGGTAGAATGGGGCAGTATGATGGAAGGAGGGAGAATGGGGCGGGGTGATGGAAGGAGGGAGAATGGGGCGGGGTGATGGAAAGCGGGAGAATGGGGCGGGGTGATGGAAAGCGGGAGAATGGGGCGGGGTGATGGAAAGCGGGAGAATGGGGCGGGGTGATGGAAAGAGGGAGAATGGGGCGGGTTGATGGAAAGCGAGAGAATGGGGCGGGTTGATGGAAAGCGGGAGAATTTGGCAAGATGATGGAAAGTTGAAGAATGGGGCGGGGTGATGGAAAGCGGGAGAATCGGGCAGGGTGATGGAAGGAGGGAGAATGGGGCAGGGTGATGGAAGGAGGGAGAATGGGGCAGGGTGATGGAAGGAGGGAGAATGGGGCGGGGTGATGGAAAGCGGGAGAATGGGGCGGGGTGATGGAAAGCGGGAGAATGGGGCGGGGTGATGGAAAGCGGGAGAATGGGGCGGGGTGATGGAAAGCGGGAGAATGGGGCGAGGTGATGGAAAGCGGGAGAATGGGGCGGGGTGATGGAAAGCGGGAGAATGGGGCGGGGTGATGGAAAGAGGGAGAATGGGGAGGGGTGATGGAAAGCGAGAGAATGGGGCGGGGTGATGGAAAGTGGGAGAATGGGGCGGGATGATGGAAAGTTGGAGAATGGTGCGGGGTGATGGAAAGCGGGAGAATGGGGTAGGGTGATGGAAGGAGGGAGAATGGGGCGGGGTGATGGAAGGAGGGAGAATGGGGCAGGGTGATGGAAAGCGGGAGAATGGGGCGGATGATGGAAAGCGGGAGAATAGGGCGGGGTGATGGAGAGAGGGAGAATGAGGCGGGGTGATGGAAGGAGGGAGAATGGGGCAGGGTGATGGAAAGCGGGAGAATGGGGGCGGGGTGATGGAAAGCGGGAGAATGGGGCGGGGTGATGCAAAGCGGGAGAATGGGGTGGGGTGACGGAAAGCGGGAGAATTGGGTGGGGTGATGGAAAGCGGGAGAATGGGGCGGGGCGATGAAAAGCGGGAGAATGGGGCGGCGTGATGGAAAGCGGGAGAATGGGGCAAGATGATGGAAAGTTGGAGAATGGGGCGGGGTGATGGAAAGCGGGAGAATGGGGCAGGGTGATGGAAGGAGGGAGAATGGGGCAGGGTGATGGAAGGAGGGAGAATGGGGCAGGGTGATGGAAGGAGGGAGAATGGGGCGGGGTGATGGAAAGCGGGAGAATGGGGCGGGGTGATGGAAAGCGGGAGAATGGGGCGGGGTGATGGAAAGCGGGAGAATGGGGCGGGATGATGGAAAGAGGGAGAATGGGGCGGGGTGATGGAAAGCGAGAGAATGGGGCGGGGTGATGGAAAGTGGGAGAATGGGGCGGGGTGATGGAAAGTTGGAGAATGGTGCGGGGTGATGGAAAGCGGGAGAATGGGGTAGGGTGATGGAAGGAGGGAGAATGGGGCGGGGTGATGGAAGGAGGGAGAATGGGGCAGGGTGATGGAAAGCGGGAGAATGGGGCGGATGATGGAAAGCGGGAGAATAGGGCGCGATGATGGAAAGAGGGAGAATAAGGCGGGGTGATGGAAGGAGGGAGAATGGGGCAGGGTGATGGAAAGCGGGAAAATGGGGGCGGGGTGATGGAAAGCGGGAGAATGGGGCGGGGTGATGCAAAGCGGGAGAATGGGGTGGGGTGACGGAAAGCGGGAGAATTGGGTGGGGTGATGGAAAGCGGGAGAATGGGGCGGGGTAATGAAAAGCGGGAGAATGGGGCTGCGTGATGGAAAGCGGGAGAATGGGGTGGGGTGAGGGAAGGAGGGAGATTGGGGCGGGGTGATTGAAAGCGGGAAAATGGGGCGGGGTGATGCAGAGCGGGAGAATGGGGCGGGGTGATGGAAAGTGGGAGAATGGGGCGGGGTGACGGAAAGCGGGTGAATGGGGCAGGGTTATGGAAAGCGGGAGAATGGGGCGGGATGATGGAAAGTCTGAGAATGGGGCGGAGTGATGGAAAGCAAGAGAATGGGGCAGGGTGATGGAAGGAGGGAGAATGGGGCAGGGTGATGGAAAGAGGGAGAATGGGGCAGGGTGATGGAAAGGGAGAGAATGGGGCGGGATGATGGAAAGTTGGAGAATAGGGCGGGGTGATGGAAAGCGGGAGAATGGGGCGGGGTGATGGAAAGAGGTAGAATGGGGCGGGGTGATGGAAAGGGAGAGAATGGGGCGGGGTGATGGAAAGCGGGAGAATGGGGCGGGATGATGGAAAGTTGGAGAATGGGGCGGGGTGATGGAAAGCGGGAGAATGGGGCAGTGTGATGGAAGGAGGGAGAATGGGGCGGGGTGATGGAAGGAGGGAGAATGGGGCGGGGTGATGGAAAGCGGGAGAATGGGGCGGGGTGATGGAAAGCGGGAGAATGGGGCGGGGTGATGGAAAGCGTGAGAATGGGGCGGGGTAATGGAAAGCGGGAGAATGGGGCGGGGTGATGGAAAGCGGGAGAATGGGGCGGGGTGATGGAAAGCGAGAGAATGGGGCGGGGTGATGGAAAGCGGGAGAGTGGGGCAAGATGATGGAAAGTTGGAGAATGGGGCGGGGTGTTGGAGAGCGGGAGAATGGGGCAGGGTGATGGAAGGAGGGAGAATGGGGCGAGGTGATGGAAGGAGTGAGAATGGGGCAGGGTGATGGAAGGAGGGAGAATGGGGTGGGGTGATAGAAAGCGGGAGAATGGGGCGGGGTGATGGAAAGCGGGAGAATGGGGCGGGCCGATGGAAAGCGGGAGAATGGGGCGGGGTGATGGAAAGCAGGAGAATGGAGCGGGGTGATGGAAAGCGGGAGAATGGGACGGGGCGATGGAAAGCGGGAAAATGGGGCGGGGTGATGGGAAGCGGGAGAATGGGGCGAGGTGATGGAAAGCGGGAGAATGGGGCGGGGTGATGGAAAGCAGGAGAATGGGGCGGGGTGATGGAAAGCGGGAGAATGGGACGGGGCGATGGAAAGCGGGAAAATGGGGCGGGGTGATGGAAAGAGGGAGAATGGGGCGGGGTGATGGAAAGCGAGAGAATGGGGCGGGGTGATGGAAAGCGGGAGAATGGGGCAAGATGATTGAAAGTTGGAGAATGGTGCGGGGTGATGGAAAGCGGGAGAATGGGGCAGTGTGATGGAAGGAGGGAGAATGGGGCGGGGTGATGGAAGGAGGGAGAATGGGGCAGGGTGATGGAAGGAGGGAGAATGGGGCGGGGTGATGGAAAGCGGGAGAATGGGGCGGGGTGATGGAAAGTGTGAGAATGGGGCGGGGTGATGGAAAGCGGGAGAATGGGGCGGGGTGATGGAAAGCGGGAGAATGGGGCGGGGTGATGGAAAGCGCGAGAATGGGGCGGGGTGATGGAAAGAGGGAGAATAGGGCAGAGTGATGGAAAGCGAGAGAATGGGGCAGGGTAATGAAAAGCGGGAGAATGGGGCAGGGTGATGGAAGGAGGGAGAATGGGGCGGGGTGATGGAAGGAGGGAGAATGTGGCAGGGTGATGGAAAGTGGGAGAATGGGGCGGGGTGATGGAAATCGGGAGAATGGGGCGGGGTGATGGAAAGAGGGAGAATGGGGCGGTGCATGGAAAGGGAGAGAATGGGGCGGGGTGATGGAAAGCAGGAGAATGGGGCCGTGTAATGGAAAGCGGGAGAATGGGGTGGTGTGATGGAAAGCGGGAGAATGGGGCGGGGTGATGGAAAGCGGGAGCATGGGGCGGGGTGATGGAAGGAGGGAGAATGGGGCGGGGTGATGGAAAGCAGGAGAATGGGGCAGGATGATAGAAAGCGGGAGAATGGGGCGGGGTGATGGAAAGCGGGAGAATGGGGTAGGGTGATGGAAGGAGGGAGAATAGGGCAGGGTGATGGAAAGCATGAGAATGGGGCAGGGTGATGGAAAGAGGGAGAATGGAGCGGGGTGATGGAAAGGGAGAGAATGGGGCGGGGTAATGGAAAGCGGGAGAATGGGGCCGGGTGATGGAAAGCGGGAGAATGAAGCGGGGTAATGGAAAGCGGGAGAATGGGGCGGGGTGATGGAAAGCGGGAGAATGGAGCGGGGTGATGGAAGGAGGGAGAATGGGGCGGGTTGATGGAAAGCAGGAGAATGGGGCGGGGTGATGGAAAGCGGGAGAATGGGGCAGGGTGATGGAAGGAGGGAGAATGGGGCGGGGTGATGGAAGGAGGGAGAATGTGGCAGGGTGGTGGAAAGCGGGAGAATGGGGCAGGGTGATGGAAAGCGGGAGAATGGGGCGCGGTGATGGAAAGAGGGAGAATGTGGCGGGTGATGGAAAGGGAGAGAATGGGGCGGGGTGATGGAAAGCAGCAGAATGGGGCCGTGTGATGGAAAGCGGGAGAATGAAGCGAGGTGATGGAAAGCGGGAGAATGGGGTGGTGTGATGGAAAGCGGGAGAATGGGGCGGGGTGATGGAAAGTGGGAGAATGGGGCGGAGTGATGGAAGGAGGGAGAATGGGGCGGGGTGATGGAAAGCAGGAGAATGGGGCGGGGTGATGGAAAGCAGGAGAATGGGGCGGGGTGATGGAAAGCGGGAGAATGGGGCGGGGTGATGGAAAGCGGGAGAATGGGGCAGGGTGATGGAAAGAGGGAGAATGGGGCGGGGTGATGGAAAGCGAGAGAATGGGGCAGGATGGTGGAAAGCGGGAGAATGGGGCGGGATGATGGAAAGTTGGAGAATGGGGCGAGGTGATCGAAAGAGGGAGAATGGGACAGGGTGATGGAAGGAGGGAGAATGGGGCGGGGTGATGGAAGGAGGGAGAATGGGGCAGGGTGATGGAAAGCGGGAAAATGGGGCGGGGTGATGGAAAGCGGGAGAATGGGGCGGGGTGATGGAAAGAGGGAAAATGGGGCGGGGTGATGGAAAGGGAGAGATTGGGGCGGGTGATGGAAAGCGGGAGAATGGGGCGGGATGATGGAAAGTTGGAGAATGGGGCGGGCTGATGGAAAGCGGGAGAATGGGGCGGGGTGATGGAAGGAGGGAGAATGGGGCGGGGTGATAGAAGGAGGGAGAATGGGGCACAGTGATGGAAAGAGGGAGAATGGGGCGGGGTGATGGAAAGCGGGAGAATGGGGCGCGGTGATGGAAAGCGGGTGAATGGGGCGGTGTTATGGAAAGCGGGAGAATGGGGCAGAGTGATGGAAAGCGGGAGAATGAAGCGGGGTGATGGAAAGCGGGAGAATGGGGTGGTGTGATGGAAAGCGGGAGAATGGGGCGGGGTGATGGAAAGAGGGAGAATGGGGTGGGGTGATGGAAAGCAGGAGAATGGGGCGGGGTGATGGAAAGCAGGAGAATAGGGCGGGATAATGAAAAGCGGGAGAATGGGGCGGGGTGATGGAAAGCGGGAGAATGGTGTAAGGTGATGGAAGGAGGGAGAATGGGGTGGGGTGATGGAAGGAGAGAGAATGGGGCGGCGTGATGGAAAGCGGGAGAATGGGGTGGGGTGATGGAAGGAGGGAGATTGGGGCGGGGTGATTGAAAGCGGGAGAATGGGGCGGGGTGATGGAAAGCGGGAGAATGGGGCGGGGTGATGCACAGCGGGAGAATGGGGCGGGGTGATGGAAAGCGGGAGAATGGGGCGGGGTGATGGAAAGCGGGAGAATGGGGCGGGGTGATGGAAGGAGGGAGAATGGGGCGGGGTGATGGAAAGCGGGAGAATGGGGCCGGGTGAAGGAAAGCGGGAGAATGGGGTGGTGTGATGGAAAGCAGGAGAATGGGGCGGGATGATAGAAAGAGGGAGAATGGGGCGGGGTGATGGAAAGAAGGAGAATGGGGCGGGGTGATGGAAAGCAGGAGACAGGGACAGGATGATGGAAAGCGAGAGAATGGTGCACACGCTAGGCCCTTGTTCTTTTTATTTTGCACACGCTAGGCCCTTGTTCTTGCAATTTTGCACATGCTAGACCCTTGTTCTTTTTATTTTGCACACGCTAGGCCCTTGTTCTTGCTATTTCGCGAACGCTAGGCCCTTGTTCTTGATTTTTTGCACATGCTACGCCCTTGCTCTTGCTATTTTGCACTCGTTAGGCCCTTGTTCTTGCAATTTTTCACACGCTAGGCCCTTGTTCTTGCAATTTTGCACACGCTAGGCCCTTGTTCTTTTTATTTTGCACACGCTAGGTCCTTGTTCTTGCTATTTCGCGAATGCTAGGCCCTTGTTCTTGATTTTTTGCACACGCTAGGCCCTTGCTCTTGCTATTTTGCACTCGCTAGGCCCTTGTTCTTGCAATTGTGCACACGCTAGGCCCTTGTTCTTGCAATTTTGCACACGCTAGGCCCTTGTTCTTGCAATTTTGCACACGCTAGGCCCTTGTTCTTTTTATTTTGCACTCGCTAGGCCCTTGTTCTTGCTATTTTGCACACGCAATGCCCTTGTTGTTTTTATTTTGCACACGCTATGGCCTTGTTTTTTTTTTTTTTGCACATGCTAGGCCCTTGTTCTTGCTATTTCGCGAACGCTAGGTCCTTAATCTTGATTTTTTGCACACGCTAGGCCCTTGCTCTTGCTATTTTGCACTTGCTCGGCCCTTGTTCTTGCAATTTTGCACACGCTAGGCCCTTGTTCTTGCAATTTTGCACACGCTAGGCCCTTGTTCTTTTTATTTTGCACACGCTAGGCCCTTGTTCTTTTTATTTTGCACACGCTAGGCCCTTATTCTTGCTATTTTGCACACGCTATGCCCTTGTTCTTTTTATTTTGTTCACGCTTGGCCCTTGTTCTTGCAATTTTGCACATGCTTGACCCTTGTTCTTTTTATTTTGCACACGCTAGGCCCTTGTTCTTGCTATTTTGCACACGCTAGGCCCTTGTTCTTGCAATTTTGCACACGCTAGGCCCTTGTTCTTTTTATTTTGCACATGCTAGGCCCTTGTTCTTTTTATTTTGCACACGCTAGGCCCTTGTTCTTGATTTTTTGCACACGCTAGGCCCTTGCTCTTGCTATTTTGCACTCGCTAGGCCCTTGTTCTTGCAATCTTGCATACGCTAAGCCCTTGTACTTGCAATTTTGCACACGCTAGGCCCTTGTTCTTTTTATTTTGCACACGCTAGGCCCTTGTTCTTGCTGTTTTGCACACGCTATGCCCTTGTTCTTTTTATTTTGCACACGCTAGGCCCTTGTACTTGCAATTTTGCACACGCTAGGCCCTTGTTCTTTTTATTTTGCACACGCTAGGCCGTTGTTCTTTTTATTTTGCACACGCTAGGCCCTTGTTTTTGCTATTTTGCACCCGCTATGCCCTTATTCTTTTTAATTTGCACATGCTAGGCCCTTGTTCTTGCAATTTTGCACATGCTAGACCCTTGTTCTTTTTATTTTGCACACGCTATGCCCTTGTTCTTGCTATTTCGCGAACGCTAGGCCCTTGTTCTTGATTTTTTGCACTCGATAGGCCCTTGCTCTTGCTATTTTGCACTCGCTAGACCCTTGCTCTTGCAATTTTGCACACGCTAGGCCCTTGTTCTTTTTATTTTGCACACGCTAGGCCCTTGTTCTTGCTATTTTGCACACGCTATGTCCTTGTTCTTTTTATATTGCACACGCTTGGCCCTTGTTCTTGCAATTTTGCACATGCTAGACCCTTGATCTTTTCATTTTGCACACGCTAGGCCCTTGCTCTTGCTATTTCGCGAACGCTAGGCCCTTGTTCTTGATTTTTTGCACACGCTAGGCCCTTGCTCTTGCTATTTTGCACTCGCTATGCCCTAGTTCTTGCACTTTTGCACACGCCAGGCCCTTGTTCCTGCAATTTTGCATACGCTATGCCCTTGTTCTTGCAATTTTGCACATGCTAGACCCTTGTTCTTTTTATTTTGCACATGTTTGGCCCTTGTTCTTGCTATTTCGCGAACGCTAGGCCTTTGTTCTTGATTTTTTGCACACGCTAGGCCCTTGCTCTTGCTATTTTGCACTCGCTAAGCCCTTGTTCTTGCAATTTTGCACATGCTAGGCCCTTGTTCTTGCAATTTTGCAAATGCTAGGACCTTGTTCTTTTTATTTTGCACACGCTAGGCCCTTATTCTTTTTAATTTGCACACGCTAGGCCCTTGTTCTTGCTATTTTGCACACGCTATGCCCTTGTTCTTTTTATTTTGCACACGGTAGGCCCTTGTTCTTGCAATTTTGCACGTGCTAGACCCTTGTTCTTTTTATTTTGCACACGCTAGGCCCTTGTTTTTGCTATTTTGCGAACGTTAGGCCCTTGTTCTTGATTTTTTGCACACGCTAGGCCCTTGCTCTTGCTATTTTGCACTCGCTAAGCCCTTGTTCTTGCAATTTTGCACATGCTAGGCCCTTGTTCTTGCAATTTTGCAAACGCTAGGCCCTTGATCTTTTTATTTTGCACACGCTAGGCCCTTGTTCTTTTTATTTTGCACACGCTAGGCCCTTGTTCTTTTTATTTTGCACACGCTAGGCCCTTGTTCTTGCTATTTTGCACACGCCATGCCCTTGTTCTTTTTATTTTGCACACGCTAGGCCCTTGTTCTTGCTATTTTGCGAACCCTATGCCCTTGTTCTTGATTTTTTGCACACGCTAGGCCCTTGTTCTTGCAATTTTGCACACGCTAGGCCCTTGTTCTTTTTATTTTGCACACGCTAGGCCCTTGTTCTTGTATTTTGCACATGCTAGGCCCTAGTTCTTGCTATTTTGCACACGCTATGCCCTTGTTCTATTTATTTTGCACACTCTAGGCCCTTGTTCTTGCAATTTTGCACATGCTAGACCCTTGTTCTTTTTATTTTGCACATGTTTGGCCCTTGTTCTTGCTATTTCGCGAACGCTAGGCCTTTGTTCTTGATTTTTTGCACACGCTAGGCCCTTGCTCTTGCTATTTTGCACTCACTAAGCCCTTGTTCTTGCAATTTCGCACATGCTAGACCCTTGTTCTTTTTATTTTGCACACGCTAGGCCCTTGTTCTTGATTTGTTGCACACGCTAGGCCCTTGCTCTTGCTATTTTGCACTCACTAAGCCCTTGTTCTTGCAATTTCGCACATGCTAGACCCTTGTTCATTTTATTTTGCACACGCTAGGCCCTTGTTCTTGCTATTTTGCACACGCTATGCACTTGTTCTTTTTATTTTGAACACGCTAGGCCCTTGTTCTTGCAATTTTGTACATGCTAGACCCTTGTTCTTTTTATTTTGCACACGCTAGGCCCTTGTTCTTGCTATTTCGCGAACGCTAGGCCCTTGTTCTTGATTTATTGCACACGCTAGGCCCTTGCTCTTGCTATTTTGCACTCGCTAGGCCCTTGTTCTTGCAATTTTGCACATGCTAGGCCCTTGTTCCTGCAATTTTGCACATGCTAGCCCTTTGTTCTTTTTATTTTGCACACGCTAGGCCTTTGTTCTTTTTATTTTGCACACGCTAGGCCCTTGTTCTTGCAATTTTGCACATGCTAGTCCCTTGTTCTTTTTATTTTGCACACGCTAGGCCCCTGTTCTTGCTATTTTGCACACGCTAGGCCCTTGTTCTTTTTATTCTGCACACGATAGGCCCTTGTTCTTTTTATTTTGCACACGCTATGCCCTTGTTTTTTTTATTTTGCACACGCTACACCCTTGTTCTTTTTATTTTGCACATGCTAGGCCCTTGCTCTTGCAATTTTGCACATGCTAGACCCTTGTTCTTTTTGTTTTGCACACACTAGGCCCTTGTTCTTGCTATTTCGCGAACGCTAGGCCCTTGTTCTTGATTTTTTGCACACGTTAGGCCCTTGCTCTTGCTATTTTGCACTCGCTAGGCCCTTGTTCTTGCAATTTTGCACATGCTAGACCCTTGTTGTTTTTATTTTGCACACGCTAGGCCCTTGCTCTTGCTATTTCGCGAACGCTAGGCCCTTGTCCTTGATTTTTTGCACACGCTAGGCTCTTGCTCTTGCTATTTTGCACTCGCTAGGCCCTTGTTCTTGCAATTTTGCACACGCTAGGCCCTTGTTCTTGCTATTTCGCGAACGCTAGGCCCTTGTTCTTGATTTTTTGCACATGCTAGGCCCTTGCTCTTGCTATTTTGCACTCGTTAGGCCCTTGTTCTTGCAATTTTGCACACGCTAGGCCCTTGTTCTTGCAATTTTGCACACGCTAGGCCCTTGTTCTTTTTATTTTGCACACGCTAGGCCCTTGTTCTTGCTATTTCGCGAACACTAGGCCCTTGTTCTTGATTTTTTGCATACGCTAGGCCCTTGGTCTTGCTATTTTGCACTCGCTAGGCTCTTGTTCTTGCAATTTTGCACACGCTAGGCCCTTGTTCTTGCAATTTTGCAGACGCTAGGCCCTTGTTCTTTTTATTTTGCACACGCTAGGCCCTTGTTCTTGTATTTTGCACATGCTAGGCCCTTGTTCTTGCTATTTTGCACACCCTATGCCCTTGTTCTATTTATTTTGCACACTATAGGCCCTTGTTCTTGCAATTTTGCACATGCTAGACCCTTGTTCTTTTTATTTTGCACATGTTAGGCCCTTGTTCTTGCTATTTCGCGAACGCTAGGCTTTTGTTCTTGATTTTTTGCACACACTAGGCCCTTGCTCTTGCTATTTTGCACTCGCTAGGCCCTTGTTCTTGCAGTTTTGCACACGCTATGCCCTTGTTCTTGCAATTTTGCACACGCTAGGCCCTTGTTCTTGCTATTTTGCACACGCTAGGCCCTTGTTCTTTTTATTTTGCACACGCTAGGCCCTTGTTCTTGCTATTTTGCACACGCTATGCCCTTGTTCTTTTTATTTTGCACACGGTAGGCCCTTGTTCTTGCAATTTTGCACATGCTAGACCCTTATTCTTTTTATTTTGCACACGCTAGGCCCTTGTTTTTGCTATTGCGCGAACGCTAGGCCCTTGTTCTTGATTTTTTGCACACGCTAGGCCCTTGCTCTTGCTATTTTGCACTCGCTAAGCCCTTGTTCTTGCAATTTTGCACATGCTAGGCCCTTGTTCTTGCAATTTTGCAAACGCTAGGACCTTGTTCTTTTTATTTTGCACACGCTAGGCCTTTGTTCTTTTTATTTTGCACACGCTAGGCCCTTGTTCTTGCTATTTTGCACACGCTATGCCCTTGTTCTTTTTATTTTGCACACGGTAGGCCCTTGTTCTTGCAATTTTGCACGTGCTAGACCCTTGTTCTTTTTATTTTGCACACGCTAGGCCCTTGTTTTTGCTATTTTGCGAACGTTAGGCCCTTGTTCTTGATTTTTTGCACATGCTAGGCCCTTGCTCTTGCTATTTTGCACTCGCTAAGCCCTTGTTCTTGCAATTTTGCACATGCTAGGCCCTTGTTCTTGCAATTTTGCAAACGCTAGGCCCTTGTTCTTTTTATTTTGCACACGCTAGGCCCTTGTTCTTTTTATTTTGCACACGCTAGGCCCTTGTTCTTTTTATTTTGCACACGCTAGGCCCTTGTTCTTGCTATTTTGCACACGCCATGCCCTTGTTCTTTTTATTTTGCACACGCTAGGCCCTTGTTCTTGCTATTTTGCGAACCCTATGCCCTTGTTCTTGATTTTTTGCACACGCTAGGCCCTTGTTCTTGCAATTTTGCACACGCTAGGCCCTTGTTCTTTCTATTTTGCACACGCTAGGCCCTTGTTCTTGTATTTTGCACATGCTAGGCTCTTGTTCTTGCTATTTTGCACACCCTATGCCCTTGTTCTATTTATTTTGCACACTCTAGGCCCTTGTTCTTGCAATTTTGCACATGCTAGACCCTTGTTCTTTTTATTTTGCACATGTTTGGCCCTTGTTCTTGCTATTTCGCGAACGCTAGGCCTTTGTTCTTGATTTTTTGCACACGCTAGGCCCTTGCTCTTGCTATTTTGCACTCGCTAAGCCCTTGTTCTTGCAATTTTGCACATGCTAGGCCCTTGTTCTTGCAATTTTGCAAACGCTAGGACCTTGTTCTTTTTATTTTGCACACGCTAGGCCCTTGTTCTTTTTATTTTGCACACGCTAGGCCCTTGTTCTTGCTATTTTGCACACGCTATGCCCTTGTTCTTTTTATTTTGCACACGGTAGGCCCTTGTTCTTGCAATTTTGCACGTGCTAGACCCTTGTTCTTTTTATTTTGCACACGCTAGGCCCTTGTTTTTGCTATTTTGCGAACGTTAGGCCCTTGTTCTTGATTTTTTGCACACGCTAGGCCCTTGCTCTTGCTATTTTGCACTCGCTAAGCCCTTGTTCTTGCAATTTTGCACATGCTAGGCCCTTGTTCTTGCAATTTTGCAAACGCTAGGCCCTTGTTCTTTTTATTTTGCACACGCTAGGCCCTTGTTCTTTTTATTTTGCACACGCTAGGCCCTTGTTCTTTTTATTTTGCACACGCTAGGCCCTTGTTCTTGCTATTTTGCACACGCCATGCCCTTGTTCTTTTTATTTTGCACACGCTAGGCCCTTGTTCTTGCTATTTTGCGAACCCTATGCCCTTGTTCTTAATTTTTTGCACACGCTAGGCCCTTGTTCTTGCAATTTTGCACACGCTAGGCCCTTGTTCTTTTTATTTTGCACACGCTAGGCCCTTGTTCTTGTATTTTGCACATGCTAGGCCCTTGTTCTTGCTATTTTGCACACGCTATGCCCATGTTCTATTTATTTTGCACACTCTAGGCCCTTGTTCTTGCAAATTTGCACATGCTAGACCCTTGTTCTTTTTATTTTGCACATGTTTGGCCCTTGTTCTTGCTATTTCGCGAACGCTAGGCCTTTGTTCTTGATTTTTTGCACACGCTAGGCCCTTGCTCTTGCTATTTTGCACTCACTAAGCCCTTGTTCTTGCAATTTCGCACATGCTAGACCCTTGTTCTTTTTATTTTGCACACGCTAGGCCCTTGTTCTTGATTTTTTGCACACGCTAGGCCCTTGCTCTTGCTATTTTGCACTCACTAAGCCCTTGTTCTTGCAATTTCGCACATGCTAGACCCTTGTTCTTTTTATTTTGCACACGCTAGGCCCTTGTTCTTGCTATTTTGCACACGCTATGCCCTTGTTCTTTTTATTTTGAACACGCTAGGCCCTTGTTCTTGCAATTTTGCACATGCTAGACCCTTGTTCTTTTTATTTTGCACACGCTAGGCCCTTATTCTTGCTATTTCGCGAACGCTAGGCCCTTGTTCTTGATTTATTGCACACGCTAGGCCCTTGCTCTTGCTATTTTGCACTCGCTAGGCCCTTGTTCTTGCAATTTTGCACACGCTAGGCCCTTGTTCTTGCAATTTAGCACACGCTATGCCCTTGTTCTTTTTATTTTGCACACGTTGTTCTTGCAATTTTGCACACGCTAGGCCCTTGTTCTTGCTATTTTGCACACGCTAGGCCCTTGTTCTTTTTATTTTGCACACGCTAGGCCCTTGTTCTTGCTATTTTGCACACGCTATGCCCTTGTTCTTTCTATTTTGCACACGCTAGGCCCTTGTTCTTGCAATTTTGCACATGCTAGACCCTTGTTCTTTTTATTTTGCACACGCTAGGCCCTTGTTCTTGCTATTTCGCGAACGCTAGGCCCTTGTTCTTGAGTTTTTGCACACGCTAGGCCCTTGCTTGCTATTTTGCACTCGCTAAGCCCTTGTTCTTGCAATTTTGCACATGCTAGGCCCTTGTTTTTGCAATTTTGCAAACGCTAGGCCCTTGTTCTTTTTATTTTGCACACGCTAGGCCCTTGTTCTTTTTATTTTGCACACACTAGGCCCTTGTTCTTGCTATTTTGCACACGCTATGCCCTTGTTCTTTTTTTTTTGCACACGCTAGGCCCTTGTTCTTGCAATTTTGCACATGCTAGACCCTTGTTCTTTTCATTTTGCACACGCTAGGCCCTTGTTCTTGCAATTTCGCGAACGCTATGCCCCTGTTCTTGATTTTTTGCATACGCTAGGCCCTTGCTCTTGCTATTTTGCACTCGCTAGGCCCTTGTTCTTGCAATATTGCACACGCTAGGCCCTTGTTCTTGCAATTTTGCACACGCTAGGCCCTTTTTCTTTCTATTTTGCACACGCTAGGCCCTTGTTCTTTTTATTTTGCACACGCTATGCCCTTGGTGCATCGGCCAGTCTGGCCGGCATTTCGCACTCATAGTGCAGGTGGGGCCAGGAAGAACGGAAACGCTCGTTTCTCAAAAAGTAGAGGGAATCTAACGGTCCCACTCGATCAGAAGGTGGGAAATATATAAATCTAGTCAGCTAAAAAGGTTTGAAATGTATTCAGCGCATATGTATAGAGAAAATGGTGCATTGGCCAGGTCGGTCAGTATCGGAACTTAAAATGCAAATGCCAGGGAGAACGGAAGCGCTCAGATCTCGCATAGTACACGGAATCAAGTGGTCTCACTCAAAACGAAAGTAGGAAATATATTCATCTAGTGAACGTAAGGGTTTGAAAGGTAACTAACGCACATGTGTAGAGAAAATGGTGCATCGGCCAGTCTAGCCGGCATTTCGCACTCATAGTGCAGGTGGGTCCAGGGAGAACGGAAACGCTCGTTTCTCAAAAAGTAGAGGGAATCTAACGGTCTCACTCAATCAGAAGGTGGGAAATATATAAATCTAGTCAGCTAAAAAGGTTTGAAATGTATTCAACGCACATGTATAGAGAAAATGGTGCATTGGCCAGGTCGGTCAGTATCGGAACTTCAAATGCAAATGCTAGGGAGAACGAAAGCGCTCAGATCTCGCATCGTACACGGAATCTAGTGGTCTCACTCAAATAGAAGGTAGGAAATAAATTCATCTAGTGAACGTAAGGGTTTGAAAGGTATCTAACGCACATATCTAGAGAAAATGGTGCATCTGCCAGTCTGGCCGGCATTTCGCACTTATAGTGCAAGTAGGGCCAAGGAGAACGGAAACGCTCATTTCTCAAAAAGTAAAGGGAATCTAGCAGTCTCACTCGATCAGAAGGTGGGAAATATATAAATCTAGTGAGCTAATAAGGTTCGAAAGGAATCTAATGCATATGTATATGGAAAATGGTGCATTGGCCAGGTCGGTCAGTATGGGAACTTAGAGTGCAAATGCTAGGGAGAACGGAAGCGCTCAGATCTCGCATAGTACACGGAATCTAGTGGTCTCACTCAAATAGAAGGTAGGAAATAAATTCATCTAGTGAACGTAAGGGTTCGAAAGGTAACTAACGCACATGTGTAGAGAAAATGGTGCATCGGCCAGACTGGCCGGCATTTCGCACTTATAGTGCAAGTAGGGCCAAGGAGAACGGAAACGCTAATTTCTCAAAAAGTAAAGGGAATCTAGCGGTCTCACTCGATTAGAAGGTGGGAAATATATAAATCTAGTGAGTTTATAAGGTTCGAAAGGAATCTAATGCATATGTATATGGAAAATGGTGCATTGGCCAGGTCGGTCAGTATGGGAACTTAGAGTGCAAATGCCTGGGAGAACAGAACCGCTCAGATCTCGCATAATACACGGAATCTAGTGGTCTCACTCAAATATAAGGTAGGAAATATATTCATCTAGTGAACGTAAGGGTTTGAAAGGTAACTAACGCACATGTGTAGAGAAAATTGTGCATCGGCCAGTCTGGCCGGCATTTCGCACTTATAACTAGTTATTCCTATTAGGTATCGAACTTAGGTATCGAGCGGGATTTTCCCTAGGAGCGATGTATCGAGTGAGTTGAGAGAAATTGGTGAAAAGGTTGGTTTCACTATAGGTTCAGGGGTACATATAGCATAGAAACACAATAAGGTGCACCACCAACAAAAGTTTACATAACTACACTAACTACAACTACAAGCAATTATAAAACATGACAAAATATTTCGACACGGAAGCGCTCAGATCTCGCATAGTACACGGAATCTAGTGGTCTCACTCAAATAGAAGGTAGGAAATAAATTCATCTAGTGAACGTAAGGGTTTGAAAGGTAACTAACGCACATGTGTAGAGAAAATGGTGCATCGGCCAGTCTGGCCGGCATTTCGCACTTATAGTGCAAGTAGGGCCAAGGAGAACGGAAACGCTCATTTCTCAAGAAGTAAAGGGAATCTAGCGGTCTCACTCGATCAGAAGGTGGGAAATATATAAATCTAGTGAGCTAATAAGGTTCGGAAGGAATCTAATGCATATGTATATGGAAAGTGGTGCATTGGCCAGGTCGGTCAGTATGGGAACTTAGAGTGCAAATGCCTGGGAGAACAGAACTGCTCAGATCTCGCATAATACACGGAATCTAGTGGTCTCACTCAAATATAAGGTAGGAAATATATTCATCTAGTGAACGTAAGGGTTTGAAAGGTAACTAACGCACATGTGTAGAGAAAATGGTGCATCGGCCAGTCTGGCCGGCATTTCGCACTCATAGTGCAGGTGGGGCCAGGGAGAACGGAAACGCTCGTTTCTCAAAAAGTAGAGGGAATCTAACGGTCTCACTCGATCAGAAGGTGGGAAATATATAAATCTAGTCAGCTAAAAATGTTTGAAATGTATTCAACGCACATGTATAGAGAAAATGGTGCATTGGCCAGGTCGGTCAGTATCGGAGAACGTAGGGAGAACGGAAGAGCTCAGATCTCGCATAGTATACGGAATCAAGTGGTCTAACCCAAATAGAAAGTAGGAAATATATTCATCTAGTGAACATAAGGGTTTGAAAGGTAACTAACTCACATGTGTAGAGAAAATTGTGCGTCGGCCAGTCTGGCCGGCATTTCGCACTGATAGTGCAACTAGGGCCAAGGAGAACGGAAACGCTTATTTCTCAAAAAGTAGAGGGAATCTAGCGGTCTCACTCGATCAGAAGGTGGGAAATATATAAATCTAGTGAGCTAAAAAGGTTTGAAAGGAATCTAATGCATATGTATATGGAAAATGGTGCATTGGCCAGGTCGGTCAGTATGGGAACTTCGAGTGCAAATGACATGGACGTGATCGTGGACGTGGACGTGGACGTGGACAAGGACATGGACATGGACGTGGACATGGACGTGGACATGGACGTGGACGTGGACATGGACGTGGACATGGACGTAGACGTGGACATGGACGTGGACGTGGACGTGGACGTGGACGTGGACGTGGACGTGGTCGTGGACGTGGACGTGGACGTGGACGTGGACATGGACGTGGACGTGGACGTGGACGTGGACGTAGACGTGGACCTGGTCGTGGACGTGGACGTGGACGTGGACGTGGACATGGACGTGGACCTGGACGCGGACATGGATGGGGACATGGACGTAGACGTGGACGTGGACGCGGACATGGACGTGGACGTGGACGTGGACGTGGACGCGGACCTGGACGCGGACATGGACGTGGACATGGACGTAGACGTGGACGTGGACGTGGACGCGGACGTGGACGTGGACGTGGTCGTGGACGCGGACGTGGACGTGGACCTGGACGTAGACATGGTCGTGGACGTGGACATGGACATGGACGTGGACGTGGACGTAGACGTGGGCGTGGACGTGACGTGGACATGGACGTGGACATAGACGTGGACGTGGACATGGACGTTAACGTGGACATGGACATGGACGTGGACGTGGACGTGGACATGGACGTGGACATGGACGTGGACGTGGACGTGGACGCGGACCTGGACGCGGACATGGACGTGGACATGGACGTGGACATAGACGTGGACGTGGACGTGGACGTGGACGTGGACATGGACGTGGACGTGGACGTGGACATGGACGTGGACGTGGACGTGGACGTGGACGTAGACGTAGACGTGGACGTGGACGTGGACGTGGTCGTGGACGTGGACGTGGACATGGACGTGGACGTGGACATGGACGTGGACGTGGACATGGACGTGGACATGACGTGGACATGGACGTGGACGTGGACATGGACATGGACATGGACGTGGACGTGGACGTGGACGTGGACGTGGACGTGGACATGGACGTGAACGTGGACGTGGACGTGGACATGGACGTGGACGTGGACGAGGACATGGACGTAGACATGGTCGTGGACGTGGACATGGACATGGTCGTGGACGTGGACATGGACGTAGACGTGGACGGGGACATGGACGTGGACGTGGTCGTGGACGTGGACGTGGACGTGGACATGGACGTGGACGTGGACATGGACATGGACGTGGAGGTGGACGTGGACGTTGACGTGGACGTGGACGTGGACGTGGACCTGTACGTGGACGTGGACGTGGACGTGGACGTGGACGTAGACGTGGACGTGGACGTGGACGTGGACGTGAACATGGAGGTGGACATGGACGTGGACGTGGACATGGACGTGGACGTGGACGTGGACGTGGACATAGACGTGGACGTGGACATGGAGGTGGACATGGACGTGGACATGGACGTGGACGTGGACGTGGACGTGGACGTGGACGTGGACGTGGACATGGATATGAACATGGACGTGGACATGGACGTGGACGTGGACATGGACGTGGACGTGGACATGGACGTCGACATAGACGTGGACGTGGACATGGACGTGGACGTGGACATGGACATGGACGTGGACGTGGACTTGGACATGGACATGGACGTGGACGTGGACGTGGACGTGGACGTGGACAATGACGTGGACGTGGACGTGGACGTGGACGTGGTCGTGGACGTGGACGTGGATGTGGACATGGTCGTGGACGTCGACATAGACGTGGAGGACATGGACGTGGACATGGACGTAGACGTGGACGTGGACATGGACGTCGACATAGACGTGGACATGGACGTGGAGGACTTGGACGTGGACATGGAAGTGAACGTGGACGTGGACGTGGACGAAGACGTAGTCGTGGACGTGGACGTGGACGTGGACGTGGAGGTGGACGTGGACGTGGACGTGGACGTGGACGTGGACGTGGACGTGGACGTGGACGTGGACTGGACGTGGACGTGGACGTGGACGTGGACCTAGTCGTGGATGTGGACGTGAACGTGGACCTGGTCGTGGACGTGAACGTCGACATGGATGTGGACGTGGACGTGGACGTGGACGTGGTCGTGGACGTGGACGTGGACGTGGACGTGGACATGGACGTGGACGTGGACGAGGACGTGGACGTGGACATGGACGTGGACGTGGACGTGGACGTGGACGTGGACATGGTCGTGGACGTGGACATCGACTTGGACGTGGACATGGACGGGACGTGGACGTGGACGTGGACGTGGACGTGGACATGGACGTGGACGTGGACGTGACGTGGACGTGGACGTGGACGTGGACGTGGACGTGGACAGACGTGGACGTGGACGTGGACGTGGACGTGGACGTGGACGTGGACGTGGACATGGACGTGGACGTGGACGTGGACATGGACGTGGGCGTGGACGTGGACGTGGACATGGACGTGGACATGGACGTGGACGTGGACGTGGACGTGGACGTAGACGTGGACGTGGACGAGGACGTGGACGTGGACGTGGACGTGGACGTGGACCTGGACGTGGACGTGGACGTGGACGTGGACCTGGACGTGGACGTGGACGTGGACCTGGACGTGGACCTGGACATGGACGTGGACGTAGACGTGGACGTGGACGTGGACTTGGACGTGGACGTGGACGTGGACGTGGACGTGGACTTGGACGTGGACGTGTACGTGGACTTGGACGTGGAGAACTTGGACGTGGACATGGACGTGAACGTGGACGTGGACGTGGACGTGGACGTGGACATGGACGTGGACGTGGACGTGGACATGGACGTCGACGTGGACATGGACGTGGACGTGGACGTGGACGTGGACGTGGACGTGGAGGTGGACGTGGACGTGGAGCTGGACGTGGACGTGGACGTGGAGGTGGACATGGACGTGGACGTGGACGTGGACGTGGACGTGGACGTGGACGTGGACGTGGACGTGGAGGTGGACGTGGACGTGGACGTGGACATGGACGTGGACGTGGACGTGGACGTGGACGTGGACATGGACGTGGACGTGGACGTGGACGTGGACGTGGACGTGGACGTGGACATGGACGTGGAGGTGGACGTGGACGTGGACGTGGACGTGGCGATGGACGTGGATGTGGACGTGAACGTAGACGTGGACGTGGACGTGGACGTGGACATGGACGTGGAGGTGGACGTGGACGTGGACATGGACGTGGAGGTGGACGTGACGTGGACGTGGACGTGGACGTGACGTGGACCTGACGTGGACGTGGACGTGGACCTGACGTGGACGTGGACGTGGACGTGGACGTGGACATGGACGTGGACGTGGACGGGACGTGGACGTGGACGTGGACATGGACGTGGACGTGGACATGGACATGGACGTGGACGTGACGTGGACGTGGACGTGGACGTGGACGTGGACATGGACGTGGACGTGGACGTGGACGCGGACGCGGACGTGGACGCGGACGTGGACGCGGACATGGACGTGGACGTGGACATGGACATGGATGTGGACGTAAGGGTTTGAAAGGTAACTAACGCACATGTGTAGAGAAAATTGTGCATCGGCCAGTCTGGCCGGCATTTCGCACTTATAGTGCAAGTAGGGCCAAGGAGAACGGAAACGCTCATTTCTCAAAAAGTAAAGGGAATCTAGCGATCTCACTCGATCAGAAGGTGGGAAATATATAAATCTAGTGAGCTAATAAGGTTCGAAAGGAATCTAATGCATATGTATATGGAAAATGGTGCATTGGCCAGGTCGGTCAGTATGGGAACTTAGAGTGCAAATGCCAGGGAGAACGGAAGCGCTCAGATCTCGCATAGTACACGGAATCTAGTGGTCTCACTCAAATAGAAGGTAGGAAATAAATTCATCTAGTGAACGTAAGGGTTTGAAAGGTAACTAACGCACATCTGTAGAGAAAATGGTGCATCGGCCAGTCTGGCCGGCATTTCGCACTTATAGTGCAAGTAGGGCCAAGGAGAACGAAAACGCTCATTTCTCAAAAAGTAAAGGGAATCTAGCGGTCTCACTCGATCAGAAGGTGGGAAATATATAAATCTAGTGAGCTAATAAGGTTCGGAAGGAATCTAATGCATATGTATATGGAAAGTGGTGCATTGGCCAGGTCGGTCAGTATGGGAACTTAGAGTGCAAATGCCAGGGAGAACGGAAGCGCTCAGATCTGGCATAATACACGGAATCTAGTGGTCTCACTCAAATATAAGGTAGGAAATAAATTCATCTAGTGAACGTAAGGGTTTGAAAGGTAACTAACGCACATGTGTAGAGAAAATGGTGCATCGGCCAGTCTGGCCGGCATTTCGCACTTATAGTGCAAGTAGGGCCAAGGAGAACAGAAACGCTCATTTCTCAAAAAGTAAAGGGAATCTAGCGGTCTCACTCGATCAGAAGGTGGGAAATATATAAATCTAGTGAGCTAATAAGGTTCGGAAGGAATCTAATGCATATGTATGTGGAAAGTGGTGCATTGGCCAGGTCGGTCAGTATGGGAACTTAGAGTGCAGATGCCTGGGAGAACAAAACCGCTCAGATCTCGCATAATACACGGAATCTAGTTGTCTCACTCAAATATAAGGTAGGAAATATATTCATCTAGTGAACGTAAGGGTTTGAAAGGTAACTAACCCACATGTGTAAAGAAAATGGTGCATCGGCCAGTCTGGCCGGCATTTCGCACTCATAGTGCAGGTGGGGCCAGGGAGAACAGAAACGCTCGTTTCTCAAAAAGGAGAGAGAATCTAACGGTCTCACTCAATCAGAAGGTGGGAAATATATAAATCTAGTCAGCTAAAAAGGTTTGAAATGTATTCAACGTACAGGTATAGAGAAAATGGTGCATTGGCCAGGTCGGTCAGTATCGGAACTTAAAATGCAAATGCCAGGGAGAACGGAAGCGCTCAGATCTCGCATAGTACACGGAATCAAGTGGTCTCACCCAAATAGAAAGTAGGAAATATATTCATCTAGTGAACATAAGGGTTTGAAAGGTAACTAACGAACATGTGTAGAGAAAATTGTGCGTCGGCCAGTCTGGCCGGCATTTCGCACTTATAGTGCAACTAGGGCCAAGGAGAACGGAAACGCTCATTTATCAAAAAGTAGAGGGAATCTAGCGGTCTCACTCGATCAGAAGGTGGGAAATATATAAATCTAGTGAGCTAATAAGGTTCGAAAGGAATCTAATGCATATGTATATGGAAAATGGTGCATTGGCCAGGTCGGTCAGTATGGGAACTTAGAGTGCAAATAACATGGACGTGGTCGTGGACGTGGACGTGGACGTGGATATGGACATGGACGTGGACATGGACGTGGACGTGGACATGGACGTTGACGTGGACATGGACGTGGACATGGACGTGGACGTGGACATGGACGTGGACGTGGACGTTGACATGGACGTGGACGTGGACATGGACGTGGACGTGGACGTGAACATGGACGTAGACGTGGACGTGGACGTGGACGTGGACGTGGTCGTGGACGTGGACGTGGACGTGGACGTGGACATGGACGTGGACGTGGACGTGGAATTGGACGTGGACATGGACGTGGACGAAGACATGGTCGTGGACGTGGACGTGGACGTAGACATGGACGTAGACGTGGACGTGAAGGTGGACATGGACGTGGACCTGGTCGTGGACGTGGACGTGGAGGAACATGGACGTGGACGTGGACGTGGACATGGACGTGGACGTGGACATGGACGTGGACGTGGACGTGGACGTTGACGTGGACGTGGACCTGGTCGTGGACGCGGACATGGATGTGGACGTGGACATGGACGTGGACGTGGACGTGGACGTGGACGTGGACATGGACGTGGACGTGGACGTGGACGTAGACGTAGACATGGTCTGGGACGTGGACATGGACATGGACGTGGACGTGGACGTGGACGTAGACGTGGACGTGTACGTGGATGTGGACGTGGACGTGGACGTGGATGTGGAAGTGGACGTGGACGTGGACGTGGACGTGGAAGTGGAGGACTTGGACGTGGACGTGGACGTGGATGTGGACGTGGACGTGAACGACTTGGACGTGGACATGGACGTGGACATAGACGTGGACATAGACGTGGACGTGGACGTAGACATGGACGTAGACGTGGACGTGGACGTAGACGTGGACATGGACGTGGACGTGGACGTGGACGTAGACGTGGACGTGGACGTGGTCGTGGATGTGGACGTGGACGTGGACGTGGACATGAAGGTGGACGTGGACGTGGACATGGACGTGGACGTGGATGTGGACGTGGACATGGACGTGGACGTGGACGTGGACGTGGATATGGTCCTGGACGTGGACATGGACGTGGACGTGGACATGGACGTGGACGTGGACGTGGACGTGGACGTGGACATGGACATGGACGTGGACGTGACGTGGACGAGGACATGGACGTGGACGTGGACGTGGACGTGGACGTGGACGTGGACATGGACGTGGACGTGAACGTGGACGTGGACGTGGACATGGACATGGACGTGGACGTGGACGTGGACATGGTCGTGGACATGGACGTGAACGTGGACATGGACGTGGACGTGGACATGGACGTGGACGTGGTCGTGGACGTGGACGTGGACGTGGACGTGGACATGGACATGGTCGTGGACGTGGACGTGGACGTGGACGTGGACATGGACGTGGACGTGGATGTGGACGAAGACATGGTCGTGGATGTGGACGTGGACGTGGACGTGGACGTGGACATGGACTTAGACGTGGACGTGGACGTGGACGTGGACGTGGACGTGGTCGTGGACGTGGTCGTGGACATGGACGTGGACGTGGACATGGACGTGGACGTGGACGTGGACGTAGACATGGACGTGGACCTGGACGTGGACGAGGACGTGGACGTGGACATGGACGTGGACGTGGACGTAGACAGGGACATGGACTTGGACATGGACGTGGACGTGGACATGGACGTGGACGTGGACATGGACATGGACATGGACGTGGACGTGAATGTGGACGTGGACATAGACGTGGACGTGGACGTGGACATGGACATGGACACGTCCACGTCCATGTCCACATCCACGTCCATGTCCACGTCCACGTCCATGTCCACGTCCATGTCCATGTCCATGTCCACGTCCACGTCCACGTCCATGTCATTTGCACTCTAAGTTCCCATACTGACCGACCTGGCCAATGCACCATTTTCCATATACATATGTATTAGATTCCTTTCGAACCTTATTAGCTCACTAGATTTATATATTTCCCACCTTCTGATCGAGTGAGACCGCTAGATTCCCTCTACTTTTTGAGAAATGAGCGTTTCCGTTCTCCTTGGCCCTAGTTGCACTATAAGTGCGAAATGCCAGCCAGACTGGCCGATGCACAATTTTCTCTACACATGTGCGTTAGTTACCTTTCAAACCCTTATGTTCACTAGATGAATAGATTTTCTACTTTCTATTTGAGTGAGACCACTTGATTCCGTGTACTATGCGAGATCTGAGCGCTTCCGTTCTCCCTGGCATTTGCATTTTAAGTTCTGATACTGACCGACCTGGCCAATGCACCATTTTCTCTATACATGTGCATTGAATACATTTCAAGTGAGACCGTTAGATTCCCTCAACTTTTTGAGAAACGAGCGTTTCCGTTCTCCCTGGCCCCACCTGCACTATGAGTGCGAAATGCCGGCTAGAGTGGCCAATGCACCATTTTCTCTACACATGTGCGTTAGTTACCTTTCAAACCCTTACGTTCACTAGATGAATATATTTCCTACCTTATATTTGAGTGAGACCACTAGATTCCGTGTATTATGCGAGATCTGAGCGGTTCCGTTCTCCCAGGCATTTGCACTCTAAGTTCCCATACTGACCGACCTGGCCAATGCACCACTTTCCATATACATATGCATTAGATTCCTTCCGAACCTTATTAGCTCACTAGATTTATATATTTCCCACCTTGTGATCGAGTAAGACCGCTAGATTCCCTTTACTTTTTGAGAAATGAGCGTTTCCGTTCTCCTTGGCCCTACTTGCACTATAAGTGCGAAATGCCGGCCAGACTGGCCGATGCACCATTTTCTCTACACATGTGCGTTAGTTACCTTTCAAACCCTTACGTTCACTAGATGAATATATTTCCAACTTTCTATTTGAGTGAGACCACTTGATTCCATGTACTATGCGAGATGTGAGCGCTTCCGTTCTCCCTGGCATTTGCATTTTAAGTTCCGATACTGACCGACCTGGCCAATGCACCATTTTCTCTATACATGTGCGTTGAATATATTTCAAACCTTTTTAGCTGACTAGATTTATATATTTCCCACCTTCTGATCGAGTGAGACCATTAGATTCCCTCTACCTTTTGAGAAACGAGCGTTTCCGTTCTCTCTAGCCCCACCTGCACTATGAGTGCGAAATGCCGGCCAGACTGGCCGATGCACCATTTTCTCTACACATGTGCGTTAGTTACCTTTCAAACCCTTACGTTCACTAGATGAATATATTTCCTACCTTATATTTGAGTGAGACCACTAGATTCCGTGCATTATGCGAGATCTGAGCGGTTCCGTTCTCCCAGGCATTTGCACTCTAAGTTCCCATACTGACCGACCTGGCCAATGCACCACTTTCCATATACATATGCATTAGATTCCTTCCGAACCTTATTAGCTGACTAGATTTATATATTTCCCACCTTCTGATCGAGTGAGACCGCTAGATTCCCTGTACTTTTTGAGAAATGAGCGTTTCCGTTCTCCTTGGCCCTACTTGCACTATGAGTGCGAAATGCCGGTCAGACTGGCCGATGCACCATTTTCTCTACACATGTAGGTTAGTTACCTTTCAAACCCTTACGTTCACTAGATGAATTTATTTCCTACCTTCTATTTGAGTGAGACCACTAGATTCCGTGTACTATGCGAGATCTGAGCGCTTCCGTTCTCCCTGGCATTTGCACTCTAAGTTCCCATACTGACCGACCTGGCCAATGCACCATTTTCCATATACATATGCATTAGATTCCTTTCGAACCTTATTAGCTCACTAGATTTATATATTTCCCACCTTTTGATCGAGTGAGACCGCTAGATTCCCTTTATTTTTTGAGAAATGAGCGTTTCCGTTCTCCTTGGCCCTAGTTGCACTATAAGTGCGAAATGCCGGCCAGACTGGCCGATGCACAATTTTCTCTACACATGTGCGTTAGTTACCTTTCAAACCCTTACTTTCACTAGATGAATAGATTTTCTACTTTCTATTTGAGTGAGACCACTTGATTCCGTGTACTATGCGAGATCTGAGCGCTTCCGTTCTCCCTGGCATTTGCATTTTAAGTTCCGATACTGACCGACCTGGCCAATGCACCATTTTCTCTATACATGTGCATTGAATACATTTCAAACCTTTTTAGCTGACTAGATTTATATATTTCCCACCTTTTGATCGAGTGAGACCGCTAGATTCCCTTTATTTTTTGAGAAATGAGCGTTTCCGTTCTCCTTGGCCCTAGTTGCACTATAAGTGCGAAATGCCGGCCAGACTGGCCGATGCACAATTTTCTCTACACATGTGCGTTAGTTACCTTTCAAACCCTTACTTTCACTAGATGAATAGATTTTCTACTTTCTATTTGAGTGAGACCACTTGATTCCGTGTACTATGCGAGATCTGAGCGCTTCCGTTCTCCCTGGCATTTGCATTTTAAGTTCCGATACTGACCGACCTGGCCAATGCACCATTTTCTCTATACATGTGCATTGAATACATTTCAAACCTTTTTAGCTGACTAGATTTATATATTTCCCACCTTCTGGTTTCTATTTATATATTTATATATATTTCTACTTTCTATTCGAGTGAGACCATTAGATTCCCTCTACTTTTTGAGAAACGAGCGTTTCCGTTCTCCCTAGCCCCACCTGCACTATGAGTGCGAAATGCCGGCCAGACTGGCCGATGCACCATTTTCTCTACACATGTGCGTTAGTTACCTTTCAAACCCTTACGTTCACTAGATGAATATATTTCCTACCTTATATTTGAGTGAGACCACTAGATTCCATGTATTATGCGAGATCTGAGCGGTTCCGTTCTCCCAGGCATTTGCACTTTAAGTTACCATACTGACCGACCTGGCCAATGCACCATTTTCCATATACATATGCATTAGATTCATTTCAAACCTTTTAAGCTCACTAGGAAGCGCTCAGATCTCGCATAGTACACGGAATCTAGTGGTCTCACTCAAATAGAAGGTAGGAAATAAATTCATCTAGTGAACGTAAGGGTTTGAAAGGTAACTAACGCACATGTGTAGAGAAAATGGTGCATCGGCCAGTCTGGCCGGCATTTCGCACTTATGGTGCAAGTAGGGCCAAGGAGAACGGAAACGCTCATTTCACAAAAAGTTAAGGGAATCTAGCGGTCTCACTCGATCAGAAGGTGGGAAATATATAAATCTAGTGAGCTAATAAGGTTCGAAAGGAATCTAATGCATATGTATATGGAAAATGGTGCATTGGCTAGGTCGGTCAGTATGGGAACTTAGAGTGCAAATGCCAGGGAGAACGGAAGCGCTCAGATCTCGCATAGTACACGGAATCTAGTGGTCTCACTCAAATAGAAGGTAGGAAATATATTCATCTAGTGAACGTAAGGGTTTGAAAGGTAACTAACGCACATGTGTAGAGAAAATGGTGCATCGGCCAGTCTGGCCGGCATTTCGCACTTATAGTACAAGTAGGGCCAACGAGAACGGAAACGCTCATTTCTCAAAAAGTAAAGGGAATCTAGCAGTCTCACTCGATCAGAAGGTGGGAAATATATAAATCTAGTGAACTAATAAGGTTCGGAAGGAATCTAATGCATATGTATATGGAAAGTGGTGCATTGGCCAGGTCGGTCAGTATGGGAACTTAGAGTGCAAATGCCTGGGAGAACGGAACCGCTCAGATCTCGCATAATACACGGAATCTAGTGGTCTCACTCAAATATAAGGTAGGAAATATATTCATCTAGTGAACGTAAGGGTTTGAAAGGTAACTAACGCACATGTGTAGAGAAAATGGTGCATCGGCCAGTCTGGCCGGCATTTCGCACTCATAGTGCAGGTGGGGCCAGGGAGAACGGAAACGCTCGTTTCTCAAAAACTAGAGGGAATCTAACGGTCTCACTCGATCAGAAGGTGGGAAATATATAAATCAAGTCAGCTAAACAGGTTTGAAATGTATTCAACGCACATGTATAGAGAAAATGGTGCATTGGCCAGGTCGGTCAGTATCAGAACTTAATGCAAATGCCAGGGAGAACGGAAGCGCTCAGATCTTGCATAGTACGCGGAATCAAGGGGTCTCACTCAAATAGAAAGTAGGAAATATATTCATCTAGTGAACGTTAGGGTTTGAAAGGTAACTAACGCACATGTGTAGAGAAAATGGTGCATCGGCCAGTCTGGCCGGCATTTCGCACTTATAGTGCAAGTAGGGCCAAGGAGAACGGAAACGCTCATTTCTCAAAAAGTAAAGGGAATCTAGCGATCTCACTCGATCAGAAGGTGGGAAATATATAAATCTAGTGAGCTAATAAGGTTCGAAAGGAATCTAATGCATATGTATATGGAAAATGGTGCATTGGCCAGGTCGGTCAGTATGGGAACGTAGAGTACAAATGCCAGGGAGAACGGAAGCGCTCAGATCTCGCATAGTACACGGAATCTAGTGGTCTCACTCAAATAGAAGGTAGGAAATAAATTCATCTAGTGAACGTAAGGGTTTGAAAGGTAACTAACGCACATGTGTAGAGAAAATGGTGCATCGGCCAGTCTGGCCGGCATTTCGCACTTATGGTGCAAGTAGGGCCAAGGAGAACGGAAACGCTCATTTCACAAAAAGTAAAGGGAATCTAGCGGTCTCACTCGATCAGAAGGTGGGAAATATATAAATCTAGTGAGCTAATAAGGTTCGAAAGGAATCTAATGCATATGTATATGGAAAATGGTTCATTGGCCAGGTCGGTCAGTATGGGAACTTAGAGTGCAAATGCCAGGGAGAACGGAAGCGCTCAGATCTCGCATAGTACACGCAATCTAGTGGTCTCACTCAAATAGAAGGTAGGAAATAAATTCATCTAGTGAACGTAAGGGTTTGAAAGGTAAC